ACTGGTTTCTTCGTTTACCATAGTTAGCGATATACGCATATAACGAATCATATATAATATGTATATATACACAGACGATGAAAAATTCTGTCACGGGCAAATTGCGGTGAAGCGGTCGCTTCTACATATTTTAAGATTCGGTTCGCGCAATCTCGCGAGTTCTCTGGCTAATATACCATTTTTTTTGTTCTTGTGCATATCTCTGCGTGCTCTGTGAAATTGCATGCGTCGTCGCAAATATGCAAGCGGAACGATCATCAGATATACATGTTTCGCAATAGAAACGGGAGAAACCTGCATGCCACACAGAGAAACGTAAACATCACAAGCGGATGATTTACACACACAGTATCCCTTCTCAACTGACATAAAACGCAGCGCAAATTTGTCTCTTTATTGTCGAACCGTTCGCCAATTGTTATCGCATCAACGTTTTAACCGCAACGTTTTCTCGCGGTAATTAAAAATAAAAATTAGTCGACGAAATTGCCGAGATAAAAAAATAATGATTATATACATATATATGTATTGCACGTGAAATTTATTTTTAAATTTTTGACATTTTTTTCCGTCCGTGTAATAACAATGTATATAAAAAAAATGTAGCATGATTCACCCGACGATACGAACGCACCGATAGATCTATAGGATGTCCGTATTGATCGAACCACACCCGTATTTCCTACACCCTCTATCCTAGCCTCCCTTCCGCCCTCCCATTCCTTGCACACACGCGGTTGTCAACGTAAATGCGTGCGCATAGAAATCGGATGTAATCGTTTTTAGCCGAAAAGCTCCAACTCACGCATTGATTTATCCGTAATTTAATTGCAGAACAAGGTTGTGGCCAATAAGCTTGAGAAAGGATAACAGAGAGCGGAGGGAGATGTATGATAACATTATTATTGGGGTTAATTCGAAGATTTCTTGTACGTCACGATACTACGATCGAATCTAAGATTGTCATTATTGCCAATGATCTTTATCAAAGCGCATTCCTTTGAGATTAGACTCGATGTTAACAGTAGCAGGCATATTTATGCACTTAATTATTTTCTACGCGAATAGATGAAACATATGTATCTAATATTATTGAAAATCGAAGCTACATAAATCGTGCAAGAGACTTAAATTATTTGAGATTTAATCAAGGATCCAGCAAGTATAAAAGCTTTTGAGAATTCAAAAATCTAAAGAAAATTAAGAGAGAACTTGAGATTTCACAGTCTGCGAATCTGAAAAGGGGCTCAACGAGTAGTATCTTACTTTAAGTTTCCCAAGACTTGAAAATCCCATCCAAGCAATTAGAAATTCAGATTCGAAATTTTTTCGTGCAACGCATAATATTTAAAAAATTGGGGAAGGATTATTTTTTCTTGCGTAAATATATGAAATACGCTTTTATAATATATACACGGAAAAAATTAGCTACTATACTTTGGCTAATTAAAGTTTAATATTTTTAGTTATATAGTTAAAAGGAAAATTCTATAGCTAGAAAAATATTAGCTATCAAAGCTAAAATTTGGGCATAACAACTATAAATTTCATGTGTGATGTAAGAACAGCTAAAATTTAGCTACAGTACAGCTATAGTTTTTTCTCGTGTAGGAATTAAGTCTGCATATGCTATATGCAAATAGACGGTGCGTGAATGATCGGGACGATATTACGTGGATATTTGTACGTAAATTCCTGGCATATATTCGGAATTTGTGTGGATGAAAGCTCGCGCTCTCGCGTTTTCGTATAAGCATGCTTAAATGAAAGGCACCATTGTATCTGTCCCGTCAAGTTTATCATGCTAATGAGGTCTTAATATCGCGTTATGGGAAACTTTGAACGGATACCATTCAAAGCGATACACCACCCCGATATCTATATTCCTCTCTCTCTCTCTCTCTCTCTCTCTCTTCTTTTTCCTCTTTTCTCCTTTCACTTTCTCCCGTATTTTAAGGCGTTTTCAAGACTCGTCTTTCATCGGGTTTACACACCTTTTTTTCCTATCGCTTCCAATTTCTTTCAGAGAGACGCGTTGGAAAAAAGACTTATTCGCAGAATGTAAAAAAAAGAAGATTACAGAATGTCGGGTGAACCATGTTAAAATGATACCTCGAAATGATACTATATATACTATCTCACTTCTCTCTTTCTTAGAAAAAGAAACGATCGAAGAAACTCGAATACATTAATGCGTTCTTGGATCTGTTGAAGTTTAAATTTCTAGACAAACCGGACAAAGTCTCTTTCAGACGCGTCTCTTTTGTCAAAGATATTTATTATACATAGAATAAGGTTTATCGCGCTATTTGGATTTTACTGTCTCCCTATAGAGACGAAAGGAAGAACTGTTTTATTCAGGAGCAATATATTGCTCCTTCGACTCCTCATTCTACACGAGTAATAAAGAAAAAAAGATACACAATTATGCCTGCAAATATGAATGTTTATAACAAACATTCAATGTAGAAAGGAACATTTAAAAAACCCAATTTTTTAAATATAAAAGTCAATTTTTTGCAAAAATTAAAAATTTTGACGTAAAAAATTGTATCATTAATTATTTCAGTAAATGATCGGAGATCAAAGCTAAATGCTATCAAAGTTCATTTATTTTTTTATCTTCTAAACATTTAATCATATATTCGATGAGTAATTTATTATCAGATCTCATATAAAATTCTATCTAAATAACAACGAGAAATTAAATAATAAAACAAAAACGCGAACTGTATGTAAATGTATTTAAAAAAACGTATTAATTTATATGTTCCGGTATAGCGATATGCGCTTTTAATATTACTTCCACTTTCGGACGCGACATCTTAAATTCGACGTTTCCTGCGACGAATAACCCTTTCATTACAAAGGGCATATATATATATATATATATATATATATATATATATATACGTCCAAATGGAGATCACGCTCATATGTGAGGCGCGCGTGAATGCACGCTCGACTAAAATGGAGAATGCCTCGGGCTTGCAAGGCAAAGACCAATTTGGCAAGGGAACGATTGCGTTTCGATACACGTTATTGCTCGAATAATTATCAAAAAATGCATTTAACGTATTAAAATTACATCTAAGATTATTCGCTCTCTACTATATAAATTTATATTTCTTGGAAATACGTGATTAGACAAAAGAGTAAAGTCTTAATTAAAGAGAGAGGATCGAGTGTGTGTTTTTCATCTCTATGAGAGAATCTTTATTTTCTCGAACGACGAAAAAATAAAAAAAATAAAAAAATATGCTTGTACTAACGGAACGACAACTGAACGGCACTTTATTTAGCCGTCTATCTCATCGAGCGCGACGACGGGGGTGCGCGCGGCTTTAACGAACGTGTCTGCAGCAAGGCAGACAAATTTATTCGTCGTGCCGGCATTGGCAGCGTGATATCTTTCTATGGGGGCTATTTTCTCATCAATCCCAATAGCTTTTATAAAACGTGACTCACGCGCGAAAAGGTCGCGCAAGCCTTTGGCAAATCCGACACATTCGCCATCTCCCCCGGTGCACCATCATCGCGAACGTTTCTGGTTGTTCGAGATAAAACCCAAGCCTCGATACGATACGACGCGCAGCAAAGCTCGATATTTCTTTCTTTATATAATTGAAAAATCAAATTGATCACGCCTCGCCTCTCCGTATGTACGTGATAAATAGTCGGGGACTGTATTGTGATTTATACGATTCAATTTACGCCATATATCTGCGTTTCGGAAAATTGATCGATTGATCAAGTATTGAATAATGATACATGAAACGAATGGATATTCAGAGACGATATTTATTATAATTTTATGAAAAAAAATGTCATACGACTCCACGTTTAACAAATCGCTTGGATCACGTTTTATGCTTTGTGTGAAGTGAAATGAGTATCAGGGTGCTCCGATATTAAAATTAAATGCATATTAGAGTATCTTGAACGATTACAACAGTGCGATTCAATAATTGTAACATAAAAAATATTTAACGTTAACGTAAAGATTAAAAATATATAATTTTTATCTAGCGAGACGTAGATAAGCTCGTAAATCTATTTTCCTTAATTCGACTCGTTTAAGCATTTAGGATCATAATTAGTTAGCCTATTATATGTACAACCCGCATATAGTCACAAAGAATTTATATTTAACGCGGTGGGAAAGTGGAGAAATATTTAAGCCAAACATTCCGGAGAATTTACGTTGATAACGCTCGACAAAAGAACGGAAGTTATTCTTTCAACACTTATATCCGACGACATAATATAATATAGAAAATTTGATCGCGAAGGACAAATTCCGGACCGTGCCGCACCCTGTTCGTGACAAAGAATCCCGACAAAAGTTTGTACAGTTGTCGCTCATTTAGTTCTGAATATAATTTTTCTCGAGTCTTATAAAATTACAAGTTGTAAAAAAAAAGATTCGCGACATGTATAAATTAATTATTGATTTTCTGGCATAAATTATATAAAATTTTAGAAATTCTCTTTTATTTCTCATTATAAAAAATAATTAAAAAATAAAATATATCTTTTAATTAAAAAATTAAAAAAACATCAAGCTTAATTAGGTAGATAAGAAAATTATCTCAAGAATTTGAAATATTAATATTATCGTATCAGTTTTATATATGTACAAATTTCTGACACAAACATATAAAATTTGAGGGATTTTCCTTTTCACCTCTCATTATAAAATAATTAAAAAATAATTTAAAAATTATCAAGCTTAATTAGTTAGATTAGAAAATTAGGAACATTAGCACCGTAAATGATAATGGCTTTTAAGCCCGGTGAATACTGCTGCATAAATTCGAGGCGTTCCAGTAATTTAATCCGAAAAAATATGGCTCCGAAATATATTATACACCGTTCCACATCTAACGATTCGGTATAATAGGTAACGGGGAGAAAATATGCGTCATCGTGCTTCAATTGGTAAAAACAAAAAGCGGACGAGTAAAGTAAAGCGTGTATAGAATAGAAGCTAAACTCACCAGGCTTTGACGCGTATCTGGACCTCTCCCTCGCCGAGGGCGGGCTCCGGTTTTTTCAGGGCCTTGACACTTTTCAGGCCGCCGAAACCGTTGAGCACGATCGCCCGCATGTCCTTCGGCTCCGGAGTAGTCTTCTCCTCGCCGTTCTCCTTCGGTTTCTCGCCTTCACCGTTCTCCTCGACCTTCTTCTCGTCTTCCTTGCACTCCTTCGTCGGCTCCTCCTTGGCGGCTGGCGGCGACGCCGCCGCTGTTTCCTGCGGCGACTTCTCGCCCTCGGCACTCGGGCTCGTCTCGTTCTTGTCCTCTGCCATCTTTATGTCTTCCTTTTCGCAGACGCCCTGAAACTTTGAAGCTCACGCGACGTCCTTTACCGCGAGACTGAGACTGAAAGAGGAGCGCGCGTTCGAACGTCCACGAAGCGACAAACGGAGGAGACGAATGGAAAGAGAAAGATGGAGAGAAGAGAAAGAGAGAGAAAGAGAGAGAGAGAGAGAAGAGAAAGGAGGGAGAGAAAGTGCCCGTTTGTGTGAGTAATCCGTCCGACTCGGGCACCGTATATCGTTTTATACAATCCGGCACGTACGAACTCCACGGAAGTCGCCGTCGTTCTGTGTCCACTGTACGAAACGAAAACCGCGAACCGCTCCGCTTCGTTTCGACACTATGCCGGCCGGTAACGCGCGCGTTATTACTGTTGCCTAGCAACCGCGCGCCTTCGACGCGCGGCCAATCGCGCGCCGCCTCCGTCACTTGCCGTATTCAAGCGCGTCGCGCCGCGCATGCGCGCGCAGCTGCCGCGCAGCGCCGTGACAGCTTTGCTCCGCCGTAGTTAGCGAAGTAGTTCCGTTCGTTTTCGTGTCATATCTACCTTCTCCCCCGCGCGTTCCTCCCCCACCCCTTCGCCGCAAAACTCGCGTACTATAACCTAAAAATTTGAAAATGCTGACTCCATCGCATGGAGTTGGATTATCGATCCTCGAGCACGATGGATATACACGCGCGCTCTGTGTAATTATAAATTTCACGGAGCGCGAGGAAGCTCCGATATCTTGATATGATGATGCGACTACCATGTAATTGTTTCTATGAATAATTGAAGGAAAGGGGAGAAGGATTTTGCGAAGGGGTGCTATCGCCAGAGCGTCGACGCTCCGTTGTCTAAAGTTCCTAGGTGCGGTCTATGAAAGCTGACGTATAAAACAATAGCGATGTCCAAAGTCTGGTGAGTATACGTCTTTATCATCGCTATGAATCATCTGGATGAATGAAGTCAAGAAAACTTTTCTCATATGTCATGTCATTATGTTCATAATTAAAAACGTATTTGATATATACATCATTATCTTCAATCTTTAGAGATTTCTTTGGAACATTTTCATACTTTGCTTTCATCCCTAATAAAAACATACTCTCAAATTGCTGACATAATTTTTTATTAGGAAATTCACCATACCATAAATAATCTTCTGTCAGATGCCCTAATGTCACAAGTCAGCATATCCTCTAGAATCTAGAACATCTTTTGTAAGTAAAGCAGTCAAATAAGACTTCAAATTAAAAATTATGCCCTCTTCTACAGGTGTCACAAACTTCAATCCATTCTGTTTATTCCCTAATAACATGCCTTTACTCATATTAAATGGAAATGATTTAACATAAAAAATTAGCTCAGCTGTGTCCAATATTTCTTTATCGTTACTTTCCGTAATTCTATAGAACTCACATATTATCTTCCTTTTTATATTGTCCAGATATCTGCTAAACTGGTACTTATCCATACCTTTATCAAATGAGACTTCGATATTTTTGTCATTGCTTTGCAGTGTAAAATTAGTTTCAACTGTATTATGAGCATAATTATGTACATTAAAAGTGCTAATCAATGTCCTTACTGGTTCTTTTATATTAGGCATACTACCTCCCCATTTTAAATTACGACAACTATCTTTTATTACTGCTTTTCATTACCACTACTAACTCCACTACAGCTTGATCTACTCATAGAACTGCTAGATGGATTAGACCAATGTCTTTCTTCTATCTCTCTGGCTTTATCACTATGATCATCGTACCTTTCTCCTTTAACTCACAAAATTAGTCCACCACCTGGTTCCTTGTTTCGCTCAATCTATTCTTTTTCTTACATGAACCTTTTTATACCATCATCATTCGGCATATTACACTCCAATAAAAATATGTAATAAATATACCAATAGTCATAGACATTCTCTAATAATTAAATTATTACGTCATTCTAGAAGTATTAAATATATATTAATTGAAATTGCCTATATAAATAATTCATTTAAATTTGTCTAAAGCAAAACAGAACTATCTTTACTTATTCTATTTAAGAATCTATTTATTTATGTTATACTATATATTTATATTGGAATTGGACAAGAAAAAATAAAGCTTTAATTTATATATATAATAGACAAACCAATAGATTAAAAATCCTTTAATTGCGATATCTGACGTTACTTCAATTCCAATAGTTATTATATCGCAATAATGATTACAGATGATTTCGGTGCACTCCACCTGGTCGAGGTACGATGAATAATCGGAGAAGACGTCCTGGAATAAAAAAAAAGAAGTTATAGTAGCGAAATATGGGGATTCTCCTGCGTCGTGCATTCACGTGCACCAAGAGATGCCTGTTGGATCGTATAATTTATTTGTCCGGGTGCGAGATCTCATCCGATTCTTACCTCATCCGTGTCTCTCAACCTTGAAAATTCACCTATCTTTTGGCGACTTCGGTATCGTCTGCTACCCGCGAGAAAGTAGTGCCCAGCAGGCGACGCCCGAAACGAAGCACGTGTATTCCTACGCCACCGCGACGTATGTGTACGTGTGTACGTGAGTTCCGTGCTCACTTCACACACACATATATATTATATATAAATGTGCGTGCGTATCCTGCCGTCCGTCCGTGTTCCTCGATTTAGCGAGAAACACGCCTTCTCGACACATGAAATGTTTCTACTTCATGTTGCCTTCAGATACTTTAAATACATCGTTTTCGACACCCTTTTCTTATATTGCGCGTGTTGATTAATGAGATGAAGACAAAAAATTCGAAATTGTTCTTTGTTGCAGCATCATGTAACTGCATTATTCGTTATATATATATATATATATATATATATATGCGTCATCTGTGATAACACTTTTTTGTACTTGTCACAGACTTTCTAAGACAATATTCGAGACATCAGAATTTAATTCCGTGTCATAAATATGAATAATATATATAAAATGTACATATTCTTTTATAATTATATATAAATATAATTACAGAGTAAGTGTATATAGAGAAAAAAATTATTTGACACAGTATAAATATATATTAAACATTTAGGTGTTAATATAATTTGATCCTCATCGTTTATGCACGTTTATCGTCTAACAATGAACACAAATCACAATATCTATGGCGCGATCATGCGGTTGAATTCGCGAAACAATTGGACTGAGTAATGAGAATCTCATGCAATGAGGATGTGCTGATTGGGATGAATGGCTTATATTGTCGGGAGGGCAAAAAGTGTTCAGAGCTTTTCTATCGAGGTCTCCGGATACGAGATACACAATGTCGAGAATGTTCATCAGAATTTTTGGAACACATTTGCATTATACATTTCTTGTTCTAAAATTTTTAATTGCAATAATTGCATTGTAAAAAATAATAACTACATAAAAACGAATTACGATAACATACTTTTAATGTTAAATCTTAATTGAAAAATATTATCATACTTAAAAAATCAACGTTTTACTTTATATAGGTGCAGCCCATGTTTAATTTGCTATATGTTCTACAAGATATATATATATATATATATAGTTCACATAATTAATCCACGTGTGCTTATGTACACTCCTATGTAATTTCGCGAAATTAGCATGTAGGTGCAAGCGGACTGTGTAACAAACATCGGTGTTAATTGATCGTATGATAAACTCGCGACATAGTTGCTTTGTACAAGGTACGATGAACAATAAGCAGCATAGCGATTGTTACACCGTATGATTCCGCATTGCGTCAAGCGATGGAATAGCGTTCAATTAATATTATTAATCACGATAGGTGCAAAACGCAAGTGCATATTAATTCACGAAATCCAATCATTGCAGTTACGCGTCATCGCTGATTTGTGTAACTCAGTTCCCTTACTTATTGCGTCAATGAGACTTTATTTTGCGCTAATCTTGGAATTGATTTGATTTCGTTTCAGCGATAAACGTAAATTAGTAACAAAACGGTAAACAAGATATACATATGTAGGACAAGTTATTTTATGTTTATTTGCTATGATTTGTATTTCTAAAATTACTTTAATGAGAGAGTCCGGAAATTCTATATAGTTACGATCGAGAAACATTGAAAAAACATTAAAAATATTTTTTTTCTTCATCTTTTTTACTTGATTTAATTTTTCTATATTTGTATATTATTTATGTTTATTAATTTTTTACATTATTTTCATCAAGTTTGATGCTACTGATTAATTATGAATGAAATTTCGAAACAATGATGAGAAAGATTTGAAACTGTTTCATGTTTATTAATAAGTTCAATATATATCACATCGAACACTCGATGAAAGATATTACGTTGGTCAGTATTTAAGCAAAAGAAATGTAAAAGTAATGAACGCACAATTAATAAAATATGATAACGATACACACATATGTGTTAATATATCTACTTTGTATAAGGAATTATACTCGTCAATTTACACGAAATTATTCACGCGTTATCATTCACTTTTATATTTCGGCCTTAACAATAACACGTTGCGATTACCGGCGCGATATAATACGTCATAGAGAAAAAGAGCAGACATATATTATCAGCATTTTTATCGTACATTGATATGCATTACTTACAAAGATGCGACCCTTGAACTGTAGTGTCTTCCTCCCGGTGTCGAGTCGGCATAATCGACGATCTTCTAGACAAGGAATTTCACTTATGTGCGTATAATTATTATGTTGTAACATAACAAGTAATTAAATGACGTCATTTTGAATCGCCGAAGAAATCTAATGAAAAACAGGAAATATGAGCAACGCGATTCTCACGCGCGCGTTTGATTATGCGCGACTTACGTCATAATCAGCTGATGCTCCAGATTCGAAATCCGCGTCTCATCCGGTCTGATTCGTCTTCCCGGATGATAGAATTTGCCGGTGCCTTAAATGTTGACGGTTCACAGTTGATAAATGCTTTCTGTTTTCTTCAGTTATCATGCAACTACTCTTACTTTTTTTACATTTTTTTTTCGCGAAATTCAGATTATATTATTTCATTCAAATGCGGAAATAATTGCTGGGGGAAACTGGTTTATGTAAATTATCGATTTGTTGCTCTTCTCTAAAACATAGCTCCACCTGTAATATAAACAATAAATAAGTATATATGAATAATTCATGAACCGAATTCAATTTTCAATTCTAAATTTAATAGTTTTAATAATATATTATATATAGTTATTAAAATTTATTATTATAATTAATATATAATATATGTATATTAATATAATATAATATATATAGTTATTAAAACTATAGTTGTAAACTATATATTATTAGTTTCTAAATTTACTATAATTTTTTATATATCTTCTCATCGCGTTTGAATAAGAGAAAAAAGGATAGATAATCACATCCAAAGATTTCTTTACACGTCGAAATCATTGATTCATCTATATACCTGATTTTATCTACAGTATGTATCGTTTGGCTGTGCGAATTATTGCACGAAAAAAATATTTTTTCTGAAAAATATTGAGTCGCGTGAAGTTGTCTTCACTTCACTAAAAGCGGCATTCGAGGGTTGAAAAATCGATCTCGAAGAAACTTCGAGATCGATTTTTTCGCGAAAGAAGAAGATTCGCATATGTAACTACATAACGCAAAACATATATATATATATATATATATATATATGTGTGTGTGTGTGTATAGGTATTCGTTTGCCCCCGCGAACGAGTGAACGAACACGCTCTAGAAATTGCTTTCGATATCAGCTGTTTCTTCCCCCTTCTGACATTCTCCCCTCCAGCACGTCGTCGAAGCCGCTGCTCGCTCGGCCGAGCGAGCGCGTTATTTTATTTCGCACAGCAAGCGCGCGTTTCCGTTAGATAATAGCATCGTGCGCATTACGGCACACACGCGCGTGTTTTTCCGCGTTGTCAACAACAAAAAGGGCCGGATCGCGGCGAGACGCGACCGCGAGAAGGTGATTTTGCACCCACGTTGCACCCATGGCAGATCATGAGGTCGTCCAAGCGAAAAGGTGAGCGATTTTGTGTCAAATATTTTCGCAATTAATCGTGAAAATTCATCCTCGCGAAATATGATTCACACGTCGCAATTTTAAAACGCGATTGCCGCGCAGTCATCGTTACGTCATTTATTGGCATCATGTATCTGTACACCTGCGTTTTGCGACAATTTTTCTTTTGCGCGATGATGACAGATTATTTTATTAATAGAGGCGGTAGAAAAAAAATCGGTCTGACAAAATATATATATATATAGATGAACACGATGTGACAGTTTTATGGTTGTTAACTTGTTAAGTGAGTATATCTTTTTATTAGTTTCTTGCAATTCATTTTCGCAGTGACAATATTAATTATGTAGCTAGAGAGATATGATGTAGATAAAAACGTAGTAGATAATTGGAAGCACATGATATCACCACTATTAATACATATGTCTAGAGTATTACCTGTGTGATGTAAAAGCATGACTTGTCACAAATTTTTGTTAGTTGTATTATTTTCGTTGATATAAATTTTGGAATATATTTTGTAAAATAAGAAATATATATTTTTTTTTCAATTACGTACGTATGTGTACGAGAAAAATAATCCTTTTTTTTTCCTAAACAGCAGCTGGATTTGGGGATGGTTTAGTTGGTCTGGATCATCTTCAACCATGTTACGTGCTGTGGAAAAAAAGATCCTGTCATGTAAATAAAATATAATTAAATTTTAAGAATTTTATTAAGATAAATAAAAATTTATATGTGCTAATTTCAATGTTGCAAGGTTTAAAAACGGCATATAGAGGATGGTATGTGGATATTGGGCCAGTAGTGGGTCCAGCGGATAAAATATGGACTATTTCATTGAATGAAGAATCACCAAGAACACCAATTGTTTTATTACATGGTTTAGGAGCTGGAGTAGCATTATGGTGTTTAAATCTGGATGCGCTTGCATCTCAGAGACCAGTGTATGCCATTGATTTATTAGGTAAGACATAGATATTTTGGATATCAAAATATTTAAAACTTTTAGTATTCTTTATATATATAATTTCATATATATAATTCATATATATTTTTTATATATATAATTTCAAATTTGTAATTTCAAATAACATGATGCAATCTAATAGATCAAAAATTCTTTCTGTTTTCATCATTGTCCACTTGAAAAATATGACTCATACATATCTATATGATTAATTGATTGAACTTTGTAACTGCATACAAATATCTTTTACTAATTTACTTGATAGACTTGTGTATAATATATAATTACTTGAAATTTTTAATTTTTAGGATTTGGTAGGAGTAGCAGACCTGTTTTTAGCAGCGATGCACAAAAAGCCGAAGAACAATTAATACGTTCCGTAGAAGAATGGAGAAGAGAAATGCAACTAGAAAAATTTGTATTATTAGGTCATTCAATGGGTGGCTTTCTTGCAGCATCTTATGCTATGCAATATCCTGAAAGAGTAAAACATCTCATATTAGCTGATCCATGGGGTTTTCCTGAAAAACCATCCGATACTCCTGCGAAAGCAAGTGATGCTGCTGCGAAAGCAAATATACCATTCTGGGTTAAGGCTATAGCATTTGCAGTGCAACCTTTGAATCCTTTGTGGGCAGTTAGAGTTGCTGGACCATTTGGTTAGTAGTGTCGCTATGAATATATTTATGTACATATATGAGTGTATCTATGTATATAAATCTTACATTATTATATTAAAATTATATTATAGGACAGTGGCTCATTGAAAAGACAAGACCTGACATAGTGAAGAAGTTTACTCCTCTGTTAAAGGATGATACTACTATAATTTCGCAATACATACATCAATGTAATGTGCAAACACCATCGTAAGTTTCAAAAATAACATCTCGAAACAAATTAAAGAGTACTGTTGTACTATATTTTTATATTATATTTGTTTTAACAGTGGTGAAAGCGCATTTCATGCAATGATGCATGGTTTTGGATGGGCGAAAAATCCTATTGTTAAACGGATGGATAAGTTAAGCAATGACATACCTATAACATTACTATATGGTAGCAGGTCATGGGTTGATAATTCAGCTGGTGAAACAATTAAACAGAATCGATCCTCATCATATGTTAACGTCCAGGTGTAAAAATTAAATTACGATAGTGGTGAAACAGATTAATTTGCAACTGTTTGTACAAAAGAATAAATTATAAATGTATAAAATTATATTTTATAGGTAATTACCGGAGCTGGTCATCATGTTTATGCGGATAAAAGTGAAACCTTCAATAAATATGTACTGGAAGCATGCGCTTTAAGTGACTCAATATCTCACTTAACATCATCAAATTTACGTTCGTATGCTAAAATCACAACTGATGAAGAAGTAAATGTAACTTTAGCCAATGAAACGTTCGAAACACGAAGACCTGAAGAACAAAAATTAGACACATCAGGATCGACTAAGATTTAATTAAAGTCCAACGCGCGGAATTTATTCTCACAAAATAGAACATTTCACTTCTTATTAGTATAGAGAATTATTAATCACTTTATTATAATATAATGGAGAATATTGCACACGCGATATATTAAATTATAAGTTATTTTTTTGTTGTGTTCTACAACACAGCAGCTTTATATAATATATAAAAATGATAATGTAAAAATGTAAACTGATAGACGTTGGCTTTTTGTGATAATTGATTGTAGATATTGCATAACTATTTACATAATTATTTCCACTTTCAGTTTCGAAAATTATGACAATGTATTATTGCAAATATGCGAAATTGATAGAAGAATAGTCTTGCCATAAGTAAGATTTATATTCTTTATACTCGTCAAGTTTAAACACATCGATTAAAATCTTATACAAAATGCTATAAGAAATTTATATAAGTCAACGAGATCAAAGAGCTTGTATATGACATGTAATTACGTGATAAAGTTTTGTACATTATGTACAGTCTTGCCTATAGGTGTAGTAAGTACGTGCGTGCACGTATCCTATCGTAACAAAATCGTGGATCAAAATTAAAAAGAAAGCGGCAATATTTTAGGAGTCTGTTTATCATTTTTTAACTAGGGTAAAAACGTTACCACACATGATGATCATTTTATACTTGAGAAAGAAGATGAACTCCCTAAAGCTCTCTTTTTTTAATCTTGGTGCAATTTAATCAATATATCATTGCAGTTTACTATGTCTATAGTCTTACCTTTGTTAAAATAGACTAATGTCCAGAAGATAGTAACTAGTCTTTTTATTGTTGTGAATTGCATTATCTCGAAGATTATGTACATTGTGCAATACATTTTATTATTAATAAATTATTGTACACAAATGTAAGAAAATCGAGAATTAGTATTATATTTATATTGAATAATAAAGATTGTTGAGAAATATACCAGAGTTGAACTTATCGCATCTCACTGTCGTCGAATTCGTCACTGTAATTCTCATCGCTATAAGATTCATCTTCAGGGTCATCAATAGACTCTATCTCTTGTTCAAAATTATTTAATAATGCATGTTGATGCAGTTGTTTCGTACGACGTAGGCGTCTTTCTTCTTTTCGTTTCGCGACTAGAAATTCAGAGAAGATCTGTTTCTGCTCTTTCTGTGTTAAGAAGTTGTTTTCTTTTGGCACTAGATTGGAAGAACTATCAACGTTAAAGTCCATGTCTACTAACGTTCGTCTTTGCACAGCCTCTTTTGACTTAGAAACAGAAGCAATAATCTGTAACAATTCAAAATATCTCATATATTTATTGTTGTTTTTATTGTAAAACTCTTATTTATTACAAAATTGAGAATATGATTTCTAACAAAAGATAGATTACCTGGGACATAATTTTATGATGATCTAATCCTAATACATCGTGTCTCATCACTGGAAATTCTATATAAGGTTCATCTATTTTAGAATCATGATTTGTATCTGGTTGCGAGTGCAAAGTTTCTATTATATCAGTATGTGAATCATTCCATTGTATTGGTTCAGAATGTGTCTCATTATCCAAATTTATTGCTGCTAATCTTTTTTCTACTTCCGTTGCCATTGAAAACTGTTTGTCTTGGACAAACTGGATAGGAGGTACTATGCCTATAACACGGAGCTGTGATAGTTCATGTCGAATAATTCTAGCACATTGTTGCAATGCTTCTTCGCTAACAAATGAGGAGATATTATCAGTAGTGTGTATCCAGAACACATTGACGTATTTAAAATCTGACGTGATTTTCACGCAAGTAATTTCTATGCCTCCCTTAATGATATCGGACACTTCCCCCATCGACATCAAGTCTGTAATGTGCTTCATAAAAAGTTTATCTCGGACTACCATTCTACGCATTGTTTGTGCAGAGATTGTTTGATTAGATTGCTTGATGTCTATAGTACTTTGTAAATCTGTCTTTGGATCATACCACTTTCTGCAATATAATATAATAAAAATTTGCAAAAATTTCACAATAGAAATTTGTAACTTAAACGTAAACTTAATTTATCAGAAGAAATCTCTCACCTTCTTGATTTATGAGTTCCATGCATTAATTTTTTCATGAATTTACTCTCTCTGTACAAATTCCAGTATGTACTTGATGAACTAATGCATCTGAATATTTGAAAGTACGTAATAAAAGAACATGTGTTTCGCATGTTGTTCAGCAATCAATGATATACAATTTTTAATTAATTTCAACAATAATGCACTAATAGTCTAATAACTAATCTGCTCATTCTCCAGTTAAATTCTCTCTGCAAAGGTGTAGAACACGTTTGAAAATAACCAAAGGATAAGGTTAGAATAGGTTGTAATATACTGTGGTAATATATTAGACAGAGACCTGATATCGTCTCTTTAATAAAGGATAATTTTTAAAAATTTGCAAAACTGCGAATACAAAGTTATTGAAAATTTGAGAATTAAAAAAAAAATAATTAAAAGTTGGCAGAAAGATTTACTTAAAGAATAAATGTATAAAATTAATGTCATAAAACCATTTAATTCATTATACATTTACACATCTTACACTTGTTACAACATACTGTAAAAATTAATAAAATATAAAAAGTACTTTTATTTTTTTTTTATAAAATAAAACTTGAATTTTTCTGAACACATGTAGTTAAGAAAGATCAAAGCTATACATATTTTTTATATATTATCATTAATTAATTATGACAAATATTTTTTCACATTTTTACATCATAAAATTAACATATACAATAAAATACTATAATCTGTCTTCTTGTACTTTGTCTTAATAGCGTCTCTTGTTTTCTAATGCTAAAATATTACAAAAGGATTAGATACTACAAAAGTATATATAGAAAAATTATATATAGAGAGACAATTACATATCACTATATAATTATATCGCAATACTAATATAAAATATTTAAAATCATGATGATTTTATTTTTTACCTTTTCTTTCTTCCATAATCTCTTTTTCTTCTATTTTTGAGTTCTGTAGGCAAATTTTCAATCATACTCTCAATAAAATTATCTAAAACTAATGACCTATTCATCGATATTATCGGTTTTCTACAGACAGGACAATCTCTTCGTTTTTTACTCCACATACGTATGCAGTGGTCACAATATGTATGTGTGCAATTTAATGTTGTTGCTCTCACAAATAATTCTGAGCATATGCTACATGTCAATTGTTCGTCCATAATGTCACTCACTTTTCCAAAAACATTATCCTTAGTATTAGCCTCCACAACATTTTGGCTAAATTCAGTTAAATCTATTGTGTCTAGTATATGATATTCTGAAGATTGATCAACATTTACCAATTCTACAACTATACAATTATCTGCTGTACTTGCTCCATCAGTTATTATGTTTGCTGAAAAATAGAAGTCTAATAAAATTCAATAATTTATAGTAAAAAGTTCAAAATCGTCAAAAATATATAATTAAAAAATAGTATCATATATACAGATAAAGAAAACAATTTTCTTTTTTTAATAAAATTTATCAAAACATACCATTTAACATTGCCTGCGAAGTTCCCGCCCTTGCTTCTTGTTCTTTTAAGGCTCTTTCTGTTTCTTTCAATCTCTCTTCTAGAATATTTTTCTCATTCAATAATTGAGCTTGAATATTTTTTTCTTCCTTTACCTTATTTTCCATCATATTTCTCCATTCTATTTGTTGTTCTTCTCTCCATTTTTCCATTTGTTCTTTCATTTTTATTTCTAACATTTCTTTCTCTTGCTTACTCATATCTAGTGCTTCTTGCCACTTTTGCTTCTCTTTGTTTATCCTTGTCTCAAATTGCTGCCTTTCATTCTCTAATTTTTCCAATAACTGGGAATACATGTTATTTAAATGTTGTTCTTGAGTATTACCTGTCTTTATTTTACTTTCTAGTACTTCAATTTGTCTTAATAAATTCTCTTTATCATCTTGAATAACAGTCTGTTGCGATAACAAATCTTCAAGCTGCTGTTTTAATACAACTTGCTCCTTTTGTTTGATTTCCAGCTTATCCTTGAGTTCTTTTCTCTGACACTTTTGACTTTCGGCAAATGTTTTTTGTTGAATAAGAACAGTGTCAAGTATTTTTTCATCTAAACGTGGTCTCTTAACACAATGATCTTTTTCAGCAAGAGTAAATATATACTTGAATGTTTCATTAGGACTGAATTGTATAACATCACCAGGATAGATATTTTGTGGTACTCCAGGAAGGATGGGAACATTATTAACAAATGTTGAAGACGAACTTAAATCTTTAATCATCCATTCATCCTGATAACATTTAAAGACACAATGTCTTCTAGATATCATAACATCCAATATAATTTCATCATTATCTCTTGCACGGCCAATTTTAAACTGTAAATATTCCCCCAAAAAAGATTATATTTACAAGATTTACATATTTCTGATATAGATACACCACAAAAAATGCAATAAAATGTTATAAATAAATAATTATATTAACTTGTGTGGGAGTTTAAATTGAATTTATGGTTTTACTGTATTAGTAGATATTATTGAGACTGCCTTTTTAACTTATACATTATAAAAATTGTATATATTTTACATATAAAAATGAACAAAACATTTTCATACATACATATAGGGAAGATGCATATATTTATTCTAATATATATGTATACAGGGTATCCGGTGACTCGCGTATCACCTCTCGTGAAGTAGAAAAATCCTCTACCATTTTGCAGAATATTTTACTGAAACTAATTAATATTAAGTTTTGTCTGCTTCACTTAAATTTTAATACTTAAATTTAATATTAATTAATTATTCTCATTAATTATTAAGAATTTCGCAAAATGGTAGAGGACTTTTCTACTCGGTTTGACTTGCTTACGAGGTGATACGCGAGTCACCCTGTATATATATTATTACTCTCTCATTAATAATTAAAATTGTTTGAGACATAAGTACGACTGAGAAATCACAATAAATTCTTACAATTAATTCGTCTAAATTAAAATAATATATTTTATTACCTCATTTTTGTCAATACGTATGCAACTTTCTTTATCCATTCGCATTAGAACAGGTTCGAGAATTTTTGGCTCCACCTCATCGGACATTCTTTTAAGAGACTGTTCCATTATTTAATAAAATAATATTCCACAGCGTCAAAATGAATACATACATTAAACACAATTCCTTGATATTGTCACGACATTCGCGTACACGAAATCGATATATGTCATGTTATTAAACCAAATGTTTAAGAACGCTTTTCAGCGCAAAAAGACGCGTGGGAGTTCGTTTGAAAATCCTATCTCGTATCTAATTGACCAATCAGCAAGACGTCTCTTTAGGGTTGTCCGCGTCGCATTTTCCAACTTGCTCCTTTTCACTTCAATGCGCTCATATTGGTCCAATTCGAGGAGTGCACCAATACGAACGCATCCTATAAACTCTACTGTACAAAGTGCAACAGTGCAGAACAGATTTGACCAAAGATTCGGATTCGTATCTTTGTCTTTCCATCCAGCAGCGAAAATTCTGGAAGATTGTGTGCCGTTCTATCGTGAATTTCGTCAGCATTTGATCTCTGGGTGTCGGTTCGAAGACGTTCATCTCTCTATAAAATTACGATATCGTGAATATTTTGCGTGAGCTGTGAATTATTCAACAAGAACAATGTCGACGAAAAGTGACGAAGTGAGTGTACTATTAAAATTCTATTTTATGTTTTGTTTTCTACTCAAAAATTAGTATGATTAATTTAATGTAATAAAATGTATATAATTTGGTCTTAATGTATCAAATATTTTACTGAAACTAATTAATATTAAGTTTTGTCTGCTTCACTTAAATTTTAATAATTTTGATACTTAAATTTAATATTCTTCTCAACAGGTGAAATTAGACATTGAGGAATTCAATAGTTTACTCGAGCAGGCTCATAGGCAACGAAGTAAAGATGTGCTGACACTGGAAATTAGGAGACTACAAACGGAATTAGCAAAATTACTTGAGGAAAACAAGGATGCAGCTATCAAACCAACAACTCCTTCGCTCAATGGTCCCCAAAAGTGCTATGAAGTGAAATTGAACAATTATGGATGGGACCAGACGCTCACAACAGTGAAAATCTATATAACATTGAAAGATGTTCATCAGTTGCCCAAACAATCCATCATCTGCAATTTTACAAAAGATTCTTTGGATTTGCGAGTACTTGGTCTGGATAACAAAAATTATAACTTGCCAATCAATAATTTGTGTGCTGAAATCGACATCGAGAAGAGTAGTTTTAAAATAAAGACTGATATGATTGTTGTGTTACTCACAAAAAAAGTTGCCAAAGATTGGTCTCACATTACATTAGTAGAGAAGAGGATCAAGGATGCGAAATCGTCATCTGTACCGGAATTGGGCGAGGACAACGATCCCGGGGCTAGTCTAATGAATCTTATGAAGAAGATGTATCAGGACGGGGACGACGAGATGAAGAAAACAATAGCGAAGGCATGGACTGAGAGTCAAGAGAAACAGAGAAGTGGTACAATGGACTTGTAATTTCAGTAATGATCTACGAAATCTCGTAGATCTAATCTAGGTAATGTGCATCTTGTGTTTTTTTGTTTGATACATAAAATGTAACATAAATATTGAATAAGAAGTATAGAGAGAATAATAGAACACATTATACAAATTTTTTTTTCTAGAAAAAAATTAAAATATTACACAATGTAATTACAAATTATAAGTTTTAAACAGACAAAAGAGAGTTCTTTTATATTTAATTAAAAAATTTTTTAAATAATTAAAAAATTTAGACATATTTTGATTTATACAGATATTTAACTGACAATGACTTATATTTATATTTGAAAATTTAATGTATTAAAATTTTAATTTTTTGGTTCTATATCTTTTATTCTACTTCATATATTTCAATATTTAAATATAATTTAATTATAACCATATTGTAATATTGAAAAAGATTTATTTTATGAATACTATTGCCATTTTCATTTTCATAGATCTTTGTATTATTGCCATTAAAGAGATAAATAATATACTCTTAATTTAAAATCAAGTTTCTTTATTTATCTGCTCTTGCATTTTGCAAACCATGTTTTAATTTACATTGCAGTTATTTATATAATCGATATAGTGTACACAAAACATTATAATCAATAAATTTGATCAGTATGGCTCTCATTTCGCAGACAAATAAAGAGTTCATATAATTCGTTGAACCCTGTTTGTGAATGTGGTCATTTAATTAATATTCGCTTCAATCGATCAATATTATAACATGACAAATGCACAGCCCAAGTACAAAACTCTTTGGATGATAAGTTATATGCTAATTTTTTACATAACTTTTATTTATTCATGAAATTATTAATTGATGCAATAGATACACTTGCATTTAAATTTTAATCTTTTAATTCTATCTATGTATATTGAAGTAAGAATGGAACGATGTTTTGGTTTGCTCTATAAACTATCGTGTGATACCACTGCTCTTTCAAAATTGGTACAGAGATGATAAATACTTGAAGGAGATATTTGAATTAAATAAAGTATTATTTAAAGATATGATTTGTGATCTCATTTTCATAATTAAACGACACGTTGATAATTTTTGATAATAAAACCTACTTTATTTTCGACAAGAAGGATAGATGTTGATAATATATTTGTAAATACGAAAAAAAATTCTATAGATTTTTCTCCAAATCGCAAAAACTTTACTCCAAATTTCTATTTATTCATGCACGAAATAGTATTCAATTACGCTAGAAATCGTACATTAAACGCAGCTTTAACGCGTTTGGTTGAAAATTGTGCGTTTTTTTGTTTATCAGGAAGATAATATTAACGTGAAAGTCAAACGGTTACACGATTGTACCTAATGTAATAAAAAAACAAATTTTAGAAATTTCAAATAGTATTCTCAATAAAAGTTAGTCCTCTATCAGGCGCTAGTATTACGATTCTTTCGTGTATGAATACATTATTATCGAAATGCGCTCTTTCTATTCAACAAAAAATATGCAATAAACAAGATTAAGTATAATTTCCGCTATGGATCCGCTGTCAGATTCAATTCATTTTCATGATACAAAAATATTTGCACAATTCTACAGAGCTTAATCATCACGATATATAAAGTAAATGTTACAATATTAACAGTAACATTAAGACATAATACAACAGCTGCAATAACAGAAGTGTATCTTAGAAAATCTATAAATAGCACTTAAAAGATACATGTTTCATTATGTGAATTGTTCATTCATAAAGTGATATATAGCACGAATTTTTAGACGCAATTCATGTATTCGCGCTACACATGCAACGCTAAAAATAATACTCGGCTGTTATCGTTTGTATCACATATTGATCATATTTAACGCAAAACATGCAGTGCGAATTCGAGTTGAAGAATATAGATTAGAATAGAATTAATATAATGCAAACTGGAGACGCAGCGATTCATCTTAATACAATTTTTAAAACTTGATTTATGTCTCAACTTTTCTACATAAATTGTTCGCTTGTATATGTGATATTTTTAAGTTATATAGTTTCACAATTGGATTAATCGTATCGTAGAACATTTGACATATCGTAGATAATCGATATCTTGAAATATTTGTGTCTGTATAGTACATTAGGCAGAAATCATCTACCTGATTAAAGATTACAGGAAGCTATCAGAAGTCAATGCAATGAACTATTTAGTGACTAAACAAACACGATTCTAGCATGCTATTAATTAAATTGTGTTACAGCTATTATCACATAGCTGTTATAACTTACGAAAAGATTGATGTTTGATATAGAAAACATAAACGTAATATCACAGTATAAAAGTTTAATTATTGGCAAGACACCAATAATTAAACATATGATCATTTATTCATGATACTATAGTTGAGTGATTCATGATACTATAGTTAAAGAGTTTTATGGCTGTGACTAAGCGTTTATAATTCTATACCAAATCCATCTTTCTTTTTATATTGGAATTTTGTACAATATTGGAAAACGCAAAACACATGTCAGTGAAATATGTATAATGGAATATATAATTTTTAATAGTATATACTGAATTTTAGCAATAATCTCGGAAGAAAAATAAAAGCGTAGTTGACGCAATGCTTTTTTAAATTAGTCTGCTTTCTTTTTCATCAATTAGTACATTAGTTAAGATGTTCTAATTTAATAAATTGCAATAAGTTAGCAGTAAAGCATCATGTAAACTATGCTATAAAGTGAACACAGTTCCCAATTTTATAGGGAATAATATAAAAGAAAGCATTGACTCTTTACATAGGATGTCGCATTTATCTCAATTATAGAAAACAGGGGCGTACTATAATTAAAAATACAATATATATATAAATATACAAACACTCGAGAAATATCCAGAAACTAAATTTGATTTCTAAAAGATGATCACGATCAGTCATGATAAATTTTTCATAATATCGCAATCATAACTAAGTGAAAATGTATGTACACTGCAATACAATGTGATACACTATGTGTGTTTCTGATTTAATATATTATACAATTAGTAATAATATTATTTCTCTTTTCATCTTGATATTAATTTACTAAAAAAATAAATCAACAATCAATAATTTATCAACAAATTAAATTTTATAATACATTTCTTTAATTTTAATATACATTTCTTTATTTAATTATAAAATTAATTTTTAATTTACTTTTAAATTTTTTATTTTAATAAAATAAAATTAAAAATTTTAATTAAAAAGATGCATATTTAGAGAATTGGCTAAAAAATAAAAATTGAACTTGTTTTGTCTTTTTAGATGTTTAAAATGAAAATGTAATTCTGTAATTACAATTATATGCAATTATCATTCATACGTAAAATATAGAAATGTCATCTCATATAGAAATGAGTGGAAGCATAAAACAGACAAATAGGAATGTACAAGCATACCTTATATGTATATAACAAAATATATCTAATGTAATTTAGTGAAATCTGTTAAGTATAAATGCTAACAATGTTCCCACAATTTACAAAATGGATTCTAATGAATCATATTTACAGCTCATAACTCTACGAAAAATCATGTCAAATGTTTTGTCTTTTTCTTTCTATTCTCGTCTATGGTAAAGAGTGCTGTATAGTTTACAATATGTTGTTTTTTAAACTTACACCTAATTAATTAAAAGTGATGTTTATAATTCTTCAGCATATAACTTTTCTGTTAGATTTTATACTTATTTCACTTGTGTATTTTTTATCTTAATTTAAAAATGCAATATCTTTAAATTAAAATAATCTTTTGTTCATTCTATGATAAAAAATCATCTATAAAGTTCCACGTATCACGAATGACATTTGTACATCAATGATAATAAGTAAGCTTTGGTAACTGACTATGCGAGTGAAAGAATTACAGAAAGAGCTATTTAAAATTGTTGTGCGATTCGCACAGCTAAAAATAAATAATAAATTTATGAAGAATAAGGAATAAAATATGCAATATATACTGTGTATAAAATTTAACGCTATCTACGCTACCTTCACTTTGAAAAAATGTTAAAATATAAATTAAAATAATATCATGAGAGAACGTTAAGCAGATACTTAGTCTTTGGTTCCCGCGCGGAGGTTTATTCGCTACTCTTGTAAAAGAGTATTTGCTTATTCTCTCTTATTCCCCTGTAAGATGAGGTTGCTCGTTATGGTCCACCGGATGGCGATCATTCAGCATACGACTTACCGGCAGCGAGGGACAGCTGGATCTCGCGATTCATCGCGTGAAATACTTCGCTCATAGCGCTTCGTGTTTTCTCCAACAATTCCTCTACATTGTCCGTACTGAGTCCCTCCGTGGAAATGGGTGGCAACGTTGTTACGAGAACGTGTCCTTGAATTAAAATTAATAATTTTCTTTACATTTTTATTAATAAAAAATATTTCTACCAATAGTTTATTAATCTTCGAATAAACAATTGTTAATCAATTTCAAGTTGTTGAAAAATTTCTAATTTTCAAAAAGGAATTATCTTTATTAAATATAAATAAATTTGAATAACTTTTGTTGTTATAAATAAATTTATTAAAATTTTGAGCGTGAAAAAATAAAATAATCATTAATCTTATATCTTTGAAACTTAATTCTTGAAAATTTAATTAGATAAAAATTTTTTTGTTCTCCATATACTGTACGAACAACTTTACAATTTCTTACCTGAATCAAATCTCTTCTCTTCCGCCGACAAAAAATAATAGGAGGAGAATACGACCGGTAGTATAGGCAATTGGGATTTGATTGCGACATGGAAGGCACCCTTCTTGAAAGGGTGTATCTCACCGGTGTTGTGCCTGGTGCCTTCGGGAAATATCCACAGTTTGATCTACGAAACATCGAAAATAGCAGAAAAAGCTAATTGATAATCAGTGCTAATAATTTATGCATGGGATTTTACCTTCTTGTCCCGGATCTCGTTCGTGGCGGTGTTAAGTACGGATCGCGCTTTTTCGGAATTCATTCTGTCGATGAAGATCAGACCGCACAACCATGCGGCGAGGCCAACCGGCCACGCGTAGAAGATCTCCTTTTTGGCGACGACGGTGCATTTGTCCATCACCGGCCACAGATCGAACATCCCCAATATATCCAGCGAACTCTGATGATTCGCCACTATTATGCAAGCCCTGTCCTTCTCCAGGTGTTCTCTGCCCCTTAGCTCCCAGCGCAATCCCAGCAGAGTACTAATATGATGGCACACCGATGATGCCAATCTGCAAAATACATTTTATATAGTACAACTACGACTTGATGAAATCATAGAGACAAATGTCTTCATTTTAGATAATTTTCTTAATAAATATGTACGAAAGAATTGCCCCCATTCCACGTAAAATTCAAGCGCATATCCACGTTTAAAAATTATTATTATTAAATCGACGCACTTTTTTATAAAAAAAAAGAATGATTATATATGTACAAATAAATACACAATATGTATTATAAGATTTGTTGTTTGTTCGTAGTTGAATTGATTGTATTTGTTCAGAGTTCATGTTTTTATTTCCACATTGAAAGAAAAAAGATAAAGATAAACTTTGAATTGCATATTCAATCAGTTCAACCCAAACAACAGATCTAAAGATTACGTAAAATATTTTCTAGTAGCATCTATTTTATGTCGTTTGTAGTTTAATATATTTTCTTTATAAAACAGTTGAATTGATTGATGCATTAGTCCAGAGTTTATTTTTTTATTTTCACATTAAAAGAAAAAGATAAACATAAACTTTGAATTGCATATTCAATCAGTTCAACCTAAAACAACAGATCTAAAGATTACGTAGAATATTTTCTAGTAGCATCTATTTTATGTCGTTTGTAGTTTAATGCATTTTCCTTATAAAACAGTTGAATTGATTGATGCATTAGTTCAGAGTTCATTTTTTTATTTTCACATTGAAAGAAAAAAATAAACATAAAAACTATGAATTGTATATTCAGTCAGTTCAACCTAAAACAACAGATCTAAAGATTACGTAGAATATTTTCTAGTAGCATCTATTTTATTCGATTTGTAGTTTAATAAATTTCTTATAAAACAATATTGTGAAAAAAATTACATTAACATTTTAAAGCACCTTTTAATCTCTCATGATTTTAAAAAAACAGAATAACCAATATGAGTTTAAATAACCAATATATGATTTTAAAGAATCAGAATAATAAGAACAGAATAACTTTACATTAACATTTTAAAGAATGCAACTTTTTATCTCTCATGATTTTAAAGAATCAGAATAACAAAAGCAGAATAACTTTATAAATATATATAACAACTAAAATTCAATATAATTTTATGAACAATTTATAAATTAACGAAAAAACGATAATTCTATTTATCAGAAACGCTCTATTGAGATAAGGAATGCGTAAATAATTTACAGATGAATTTATATATATATATATATATATATATATATATCACATTTATATATATCATTAAAGAAAAGTTTGTTAAATCGAAATAATTTAAAGAGAAAAGATTTTCTAAATTTTCAAGAAATGTATAGAATTTTTAAAATTCTAAAGAAATTTGTACTTTGTATTATGTCCTTTCACATTTGTTTTCTATCAAAAGAGGTCATAAATCTTGGCAAATATGTTGACACATATGTTAACACGTAATAAAATTTGTTTTAAAATTTGATAATGTACTTTTAAAAAAATGAATAATTAAATTTTAAGCTCTATTCTTTTTTCCATTTTTAATAGATATAAAAGAGATATGAAAAAAACACACACACACACACACACACACACACACACATATATATATATATATATATATATGTATATATATCGACTTTATAAAGTTATATTATATAAAAAATCAATGTTAATATATGTGTGTAAAGAAATTAAGTAAATTGAAATAATAGAAAAAACCATATGAATAAATTATGCTGAAATCATAGTTTAAAAAGATCCAAAAATTATGATTTTCAATGTTTCAAAAAAGATAAATATCAATGTATTGCAAAGATCTTAAATTACTGCTTAATAATTATTCCTGATCAATGGAATAAAAATTAATGTTAATATATACGATGTCCTAATGGTGTATGCACGAATATATACAGATAGTATCTAAAATATTTGGATCTGAGATGCTGGCAGCATATTAACACAAATATTTACTATCAATAAACCGGTACTAAAGAGTAAAATATAAAGGTGATATTACATTGTCGTATAACGAATTTATCGGATATGCAACGAGTGACTATCGAATAAAGAATTTCCACCAAGGAAATTTTTCTATCTAAGAGTCAACCGATACGTTCGACAAACATTTCGTACGAATATAAATATTAGCTTAACACAGAGATTTCCAATTGACCGTCTCTATTAATTACTCCTACGCACACTTTACAATTTTTTTACAATAACAACGTTATTACGTATTCTATTTACGTAAACGCTAATGTGACGTAAAATATTAAATGTGAGAAATATAAATAATAAATATATATATTGCTTCACAGTATTTATATATATTATTCTGTTTGTTCTGTTGTGTGTAAAGAGTACCATTATTATATAGGGAAGCGACTCATTTTCTCATAGCTCCGAGATACAAGTTTAAACCCTCTCCGCCTCCACTCATATCCAGCACTAACATTGACACGACGTTCGCAATAACAACCACAAATACCGCCGGCACCACCATCACCACCACCCACTAAACAACCAGCGAGCATCGGTCAATAAATTCCCGTGTTCGGTCGTCCCGGTGATTCTCGAGTTGCCCGCTGTCAAGCTAGCACGAGGAAGACCGTACGAAGGGAAACACACGAGGGAACCGTGTAATAACACACGAAACGAGACAACGAGCGAACGAGCGCAATAACACACGCAATATCGATCGATCGCGCTTATGGGGGTTTTCCGGCGAGACGCACATATGCATACACATACATAGACGTTATGTTATATGATCGATAACAGATATATTTTTATCTTATCGTTGATAGAAATATTTTTGGAAGATTTCAGAAGTTCAATAATCAATCGCGCAGTACAGTGTCTATACCTGTTTTTTTTTTTTTCGTTAGTACCCTATATATAAAGATTATATATATATATATATATATATATATATATATACTAACAAGAAATTCTTAACGTTGCCTGGTCGCAGAGAGATGAGGGGCATCAGAAGCACCGCGTTCACCATTACGATGCCGTAATAGACCAGGAACTTGAAGTAGTAACGGAAGGTGCGGCTGGTCTCGTAGAGGAACGGCAGCACGAGGATGAAGCCGACGAGGATCACCTCAAAGCACGACGGGGCCATTTTTTACACAGGGGGCGAGAAACGTCAGACCAGTTGTTGATGGATGAAAAATGGTCCAATTTATTTGTGATGATTCTTATCTCTCCCTTCGCTGTCTTTCTTCTTTTGCACTCTCGGACACTCTCTCGGAAGCTCCCGATCTTGCGGGACTTCAATTAGCGAACCACCCGGCGGGTTTCTCAGGCTAACTCACCACTCTCTCGAGCTAAGCAACGCAACGCGCCGCTGCGCAGACTGACACCCAACACTGCCGTTTGGCGGCGAGCGGCAGTGTGATTTTAAATGTCGCTACTAGTAGGGGAGAGAGAGAGAGAGAGAGACCCTCGATACAGTAGTTCTACCCCTACTATAGCCGATCCCTCCACTGATGAATCTGCGAGACCTCGAGTTCGTTTCATAATGCAAGCTCTCTCGCGGTTTCTGCACTCGAAATGAGTGCAATTCAAATTTAAAAAATACCTGAAAGAGAAAGCAACAATTATTGATTATATATATATCACCGGGATATATTCCGGTGATTTTCCAGTTATATCGGGATACATATATTTAACGTTATGTAAACGTTTAACAAAGGTTTTTCATTTGTTAACTTGCTAAATGCAGTTTGTTTCTTTAACGATGAGAACGTCCGTATGTATAGAACAGTAAAAATCTAAAGACTTTTGTATCACTCGAAGAATTGTGAGTCTTTATATTTTTTAGTGCACAGAGAATATTGATGTACCTAATTAAATTTGCAATCTTTTAAAATTCTATTGAATAAGCCTCAATAACGAATGGTAGTAAAAGTATTGTATAACGTTTGACTATAGTTGGACATTTACATATGTTTTATATGAACGTAAGGTTCGAACGTTTCTGAAACGCTTATATATATAACGTTAATGTGTTAATGGAGATATATTCAATCTTTTCTGAAGATTAACGATAATTATGCATACCATATGTTATATGAAATCTATTCTCAAATGTGTAGTCCTTGCATTGGTGCATCCGCAAGATCTCGAGTTCATTTCATAATACGCATCCTCTTTCTTTCTGCACTTGAAATGAATGCAGATTCAAATTTAAACAATATCTGAAAGAGAAAGCAACAATTGATTATATACGCCCAATCGTTCTGAAGATTAACGATAATTATACATATACCATGTTATATGACATTTGTGTAATATTGATGTCTATTATAATTAGATTACGTGTAAGACATAAAGCGTGGTTCGCTGATTTTGAAAGTTCCGAAGATGATTCATCAATATAAATATATATATATATATTTGTTGCAATAATATTATTTCATTATTTGTATTATTGAGATATTAATTATTAACAATAAAAGAGAATTTTAAATACAGTGAAATTCTTAATTTAATTTAATATATTTTAGTATATAGATAAGATAAAAGATAAGTAATAAATTAATAAAATTAATTTGATTTCTGAAATGTTTTCAATAGTATTTTTTTTGTAAAAAAAAAAATATATATATATATTATATTTTTATTGCGAAAAAGTAAAACAAAAAGAAAAATTTATATATATATATATATATATATATATATATATATATATAGAAATACATAAAATAAGCTTTCTATTACTTTATAACCCAAGTAGCAAACTGATGTCATTAAACGTTAAAATGACGTGTGCTTGCTAAATGGGAATTACAATGTTAATTAAAAAGATGCAAAAGCTGAAATATTATATTATTTACAAAATATTAAATTATTGTTACGGATAAATGATGCTAAAGTGCACTTTTTTTGTATTGATCCTATATATTATTCTGCAGCTTATTGTAAGCTCTCTCTCGTAAACCCTCATCGTATCCAAAACGGAATTAATGTCAATCTTATTTTCCTCGTCGTCTAGAACGCCTACTTGCGGTTACACGTTACACGTTGCTGCAATGCGGATGATGGAGTGCGATTTGTGTCTAAAAGGCCAGAGATAATATATATAATTATAGTAGCCTTAATTAAGTTTCAAGTTTAATTTTTTTCTCTATCGTAAATCTGTCAAAGATTACAAGTATTATTAAGCAGTTTATAATTATCAATTTATGATATATAGAATTTCATAAATATTTATACATGAACATGCAATTAATTAGAAAGAGGTCATTATAAAATAAAAAAATAATTTCATAATTATTTTCTGTCAAATAATTCTGTAAGTATTCTGCAAAAGTGATATTATGTGTAGTAATAATTAAACCTAAATCATAAAAAAAATATATAATCTGAATGTTGCTATCTTATATACATATATATATATATATATATATATATATATAATAAAAGATGTAGCAATATTTTCAGGTTATATATTTTTTTTATGATTTAGATTTAATTATTACTACACATAATATATATATCCGAAAGACATTCTGAAGGATATGCAGAGGACATTCAAACATCCTCAGGATATATTTTCTGAATTCTGAACGTCTTTGAGATATGCGTGCTGTTATAGATATATAACATCAATATTCAGATTATAAATATTTTTTATGATATATTATTTAATTATAGACATATATCTATATGATCCAATTTATGACTGTGCATTTTGCATATTATATACTTAATAATATGTTTGCAAATCTAAAACAATTTTTATACTTGCATCGCGAAATTCTGATATGAAGGTATCGCATATATATATCTTTTTATCTCTCTCTTTTTAAATCAATACTTTTTTATATTTTATTACAAAATATGCATTATCCCAAATAGTAAATATATATCCCTTGTAGAAATTTATTACTAGTAACGCCAATTAATCACTTTATTTCGAGTACTTATAAAATACTGATATACAGTAATTTATAAGTACTCGAAATATTGGGGTTATTAGTGATAAATTTCTATAAGGGATATATATAAATGTTTCAAAAATTAATGTGATAAGACGTAATTATTTTTATAATTCTCTCGCAATATTTTGTTCGTAAAATTGCTGCGCTTTTGTGCATAAGCAAAAATTATATATTTTTTCTTGTACGTCTTGCACAAGCAGCGATTTTACAATCTAAGATTGCGAAACAATTATAAAAATTATTATCACATTAATTTGTGCGTAAAGAAACTTTTCTATAAATAATGTTTTATCTTTATATATATATATATATATATGCTTATTTTATTTCCAACGTGTAAAATAAAAGCATCGCTTTTCGAATTGCCATTTGAAAAAAAAAATATATATATATGCTATATATATTATATGTTTTACTTATTAGGTTAAATTAATATTGGAATATTAATACGTGAAATCCAAAATCGAGAATGCTTTTTTCATGTTTTTCGTCATTATTATTTGACGTTTTTTACAGAAAATACTTACGCAGTAATTTGTATCTATAATACCCAATAATTTGTGTACCCAGTTATTTACTGGTCATGGTCGTGGATAGAGTCCGATTGCAAGGAGATGAGAATTCAAGTCAGCCAATCAGAGAGAAAATGAAGCTAGCGCCACTAGATTAGTTTCTATGAACAAAGAATCTACGTAATCTAGATTGGTTGCTACTATCTAGTAGCGCTTCCTCTTCTCTGATATAATTGGTATTTTGCTTTAAAGCCAATAAAAGTCTAACAAAATGCTTATTTCTAGGGACTCTAGTTCCTGCACGCAAGAAGCGACATGGTAGCCAATAAACTGACAGCTCTTTTAAAAAGCGGCACGTTGATTGGCTACTGCGTCACTTCTTACCTGGAGGCAAATATTTTCGCTTTCTGTGTGTGGAAGCCACATAAAAGTAGTCAAGCGAGAAAGATAAAACGGAGATAAACATCCTTGTTTAGAGTGTAACTTTACTTTTTAACCTTACCTTACCACGTTCAATTTTTTTCTTATTCTACCTCTCTTTGTCTTAGATAAAAGGGATTTCGAATATCCTTTTCTAAACGGATGAGAACCGCGAAAAGTTCTTTCTTACGTAGGACGCCATATTGCTTGGTCATATCATCCGTATGAGGTTTGCAAGAGCGGTAAGGTTGAGATATATTAGCTGTCGAGAGGTGTCGAGTTATTCATTCTCATAAGGATTAACATCATAGGTAAGCTAAAATTATATCGTTTAGTTGTTTTAAGAATATCTTCTTTTTTCATATAAGTTATCTAACTCATCTTTACATTCGAAGAAAGGCATGTGCTAAACTTAAAAAATTGGAGGTATTCTCTATGGAAAAAAAAAAAAAAAAAAAGAAAAACGCCTAATATAAAATTAACTTTGTATTTCATATCATTAAACTTTGATATTTATTGTAGAATTTACACGCTAATAAGCGTGATCATTTGTATAGTGTATAGAATTCTGTTAATTTTGTTTGTAATTTTTTCTATAAAAGAATTGTTTCATATACCTTCTTATTTTTGCATCAAATTATTTGTTTAAAAAGAATGTGAGCTACTTGTTTGAGATAAAAGCATTCTGAGATGTTTTTTCATAAAAAGCAAGAAATGTGTTCTAATTTTAGGAGTGAGATTCATTCCATGTATTAAACTTTACATATTAATTCAAAAACAAAGATATATTTGATTTGTGTGTAATAGATTTGGTATATATATCATGAAAATCTCATAGTTATTTTTTCTAGAAGATAGATAAACAATTTTATTGAGGAATTCCCTTGGGATTTAATTTGATACATACGCTTTTTTTTATTTATATTTCTTATGAAAACCATAACAAAATCAAAAGAAGACAAAAAATTAACAAAATATATAATTACAATAATATGTAATAATATTTAATAATATATAATAATATCTAATATAACACAGATAGAATTTTATACAATAATATAATATCTATACAATTATATAATAATATCTACATATAACACAGATAGAATTTTATACAATTTTAACATATTGATTTTAATTTCACATTGATGCTGTTTCTAAAATTCTTACTTTTGCAAATCCTGTCTATGTATTTTTTTTTATACATACATACACACACATACACAATAATTTATTCTTATTCTAAGTTTTATTCTATCTTATTATATTGAGAATCTGTGCTTCAGATCCAGTTTGCTGTTTCTATCTCTCTTTCTCTTCTTCCTTTATGATAAAAAAGAAATATTTTAAAAAGGAATAATAATCTTACATAAGATTTTGCGATTATGATATATCTTTTATTATCTTTTTACTGATATATAAGATATTTTTTTACACTTGTATGTAATTATGCAAAATATATAATAAATTAAAAAATATTACTTATTTCTTTTTGTGTACATTATTCACACATAATTGATAATGAGCAGGTTCCAATATACACTGCTAGTACTGAAAATCTATAATATACATAATGAAAATTATAGATTTTCAGTACTAGCAGTGTATATCGGAACCTGCTCATTATCAGTTATGTGTGGATAATGTACATAAAAAGAAATAAGTAATATTTTTTAATTTATTATATATTTTATATACATAATGTAAATATACATAATGTAGATTTTCAGTATTAGTAGTGTATATCGAAACATGCCCAATGTATACATACTACCATATACGATAGACTTTTGAAATCTTTTTTATATACATTTTTATGAAAAAAGAAATTCTTTTCTTTTACAGGCTTCAGTTTTTGTAGATAAGATATCGCGAGAGACAAACGCTTCTCATGTAGTAGCAGTATTCCAGTAATAAGAAGACTTTTACTGTTAAATATAAAAAGGACAAGAAAAAAGTTTCAACGCTATGCCGACGAATGATACGAGCCTCGATGAAGTTCGCAAGCTTATCCTGGCCTGTCTACTTGCTCGACCAGGACCTACTCCGACTACACTTCTCGATCGGGACTATTATGAGATGGAGAAGGAACGTATACCCTGGCGTAAATTTGGCTACGCCAATCTCGTGGAATTTCTCAAAAGTATGCCTGAGCACTTTGTAGTCGAGTGGGCCAATGGTGGATACCAGGTGCGTGGGATTGCGTCAGAAAAGACCAAACACGTGAGCTCACTGGTATCCCGTCAGAAGGCCTCGATCTCGAAGAAGTACGTTCCGCCTTGTCGTCGGCCGTTTATAAATCGTCACATGCCGCAGATGCAACGTCCGCGGATCAGGATCCCGGCTGATCTGCTATCAAGTATCGTCACATATGTTAAGAACAATCCGCGAGGAGTGAACGTGCAATCTGTCATGATGATGGTGCAGCAGCAATTGCCACATACCACGCTCACCATCTACGACATCCGGGACCAAATGCGCGAGCTGTCGCATTTCTTATATCTGGACGGTGATTGGATTTTTCCTACGAATGCGGCGAATGATTCTTTGCGAGAGATAAAGAATTATCCGCAGTCTTTGACGTCGCAGCCGCAGAACATGCCGCGACCATCGGAAGTGTATGCTGGAGGAGATGAGGGATCTGATTTCATTGAAGACTCTAGCGATGAAGATTTTAATCATCCGGCCGATCATGCAAATAGTAATTATCCGAGACAACTAAAGTCCACGGAGCAAATCGCTGCGAACTTTGCAAATAATGAACAGGACGCAACAATATACAATTGTAAGAATGACGAATGTTTTGCTGCGACGAATGGAGATGATAATACGAATGCTACGAAAACTGATTACATTGATGTTTCTTCGCTGATAAGCGATAGAACAAAATCACGATTGGATCAGCTGGTGCGACAACATCCAGAAGGTATCTGGTGCGCCGAGCTGCCTGAGAAATATTTGAAGGCGTATAACGTACATCTGAATTACATCGAGCTAGGCTTTACCAGCGTGCGCGAATACGTGTCTCACTTGCCGAACATTTTTTATATGACAAGATTGAACTCGACCGACGACTTCATGTTATACAGCGCGGACAAGAAGCCGACAGTTCCTGATCAAGACTCGGCGAAGCCTAGCGAAATAAGATTAAACCCATGTGAGCAACATGACGAACATAATGCAAAGCGAACACAATTTGATGATAATGCACCGATTCCAGCGGATGTCGTAAGTATAAGCAAAATGATAAGCAATAGTTTTTCTAGTATGCTTATATTTATTTGATACTCCTCATATAAGTTGACAAGCTATATTTTGCATTGAACATTCTTAATTGTACTTATTGATGTTAAGATTGTTTTATTCTCTTCAGATAAAAGATATAATTTTTATATAATTACTTTATAATTTTTCTCTCAATTTATAATAATATACTCCAACAATATTGCAATAATTGATCTATATAATTTTTCAGTCTTCTAGCATAACCAAGATATTTGCACCTGATGATGTAATGAATTACAACGACAGCGTGGAGCATATATTGGTGACTGATTTACAACGTGACAGAAAATATTTAGAGGTGTACATTGTAGAGATGTTTCATCCAAACTTCTTTTGGGTACATCTACGGGAAAACAAGAAACGCTTTGAGGGATTCATGGATGAATTAGAGTAAGTGCACTAGTGATCAATCAACTGCTTGTGTATTAACAATAGAATCTGAATTTAAATCTAAGATTATTTTATTGTTTTCAGTAAATTTTATCATTATAATAAGGATAAGTACACTATTCCAAAGATAGCTTTAAAAAAGGGTTTACACTGTGCATGTATATATTCGGGTAGGTGGCACAGAGCAATCATTAAATCCGTAAAGCCAGATTTCAGAGTAACGGTGAGTGAAAATATAATAAATAAATAATAATATACAAATAATAAAATTAAGTTTCTGAGAGTGATTCTTATTAATTACAATATATGATATTTACATTATATAATAATTTTTTATCATTCAATAGGTGATGTTTTACGACTACGGCACTTTGAAAACTTATCCAGCTGAAGATATATATTATTTGCACAAACAGTTCTCCTTTTTACGCGTTCAAGCAATACCTTGTGGCTTGTATAACGTTAAGCCATGTGTTGGTGATAGCTGGAAAAAGAGTGTGATAGATAAATTGCTCGACAGAATTGATGAAACTCTTTTAGCCTTAACCATAATGTCTGTTGATGCTGCGGTAAGATTATTTTCTATTTCTTAAGTCACAAAAAATGCCAAATTGCTTTAATTTTTAGCTTTATTAGATTATTTTATGATTATTGTGTAAAATATATATCTTTTACTTATCTTTATATTAATTTTTGATGTAAGAAAAAAATAATTAGATTAATATTATTTTATTGATGAGACTCTAATATTATTAAATTATATATATGTAGTTTAATAATAGTATTACAGAAAATTGCAATTTTGTTATAGATTTATTTATTCGGTATCTATTTTTACAGAACAATTCCATGATAGTCATTTTGTCTGATACAAGCGAAGAAGAAGATGTACATATAAATGATTGGTTAATCAAAGAGAAACTAGCGCAATGCGGTAAAATGGTGCGTATGTGCGAAAATTATGCGTATCTTCATTATTTGGCATGCCTTGATGCTGCGCAAATAAAGTCTATGCCAATTCCCAATCTTAAGATATCCGATATACAAAGCAATAAAGTAAATGTAGATGAAACGCGACACGATAGAAATCAATCGGTACCATGTAGTAAAGGGGCACACAAATTACTTGATGTAAAGAGTGAAAATATTGAGAGTAAAACTGTGGAGGTTTCGCGTAATATCCCGTCTAATAAAAAAATTCTCTTACATATGCTACGGAATTCATCGGTTAATTTACCGATTGCTGAATCATCGGATGTTACATCGCAGCCAACAGATTGTTCGAGAAACGAACAACCAAGACGCTATAAGTCATTGGCCAAATTGTTGGAAAAATTGAAAACATCTAATATTTCGTCCAATTTTACTTCAAGTACTTCGGCTCCAAAGCCCAACCATGATTTTAAAGATAACGCGCAACAAGTCGATTCAGATATGAAGACCATTCAGAATAATGGAAGCATGAAACACAATACATTAAATATGGACTTTAGAGATTCTGACAAGGATAATAGAAACGTTAAGAATGGTGCATTAGCTATGGATTTTGCTGGTAACGATAATGGAAAGTTCAAGATTAGTTCATTGGATACGGATTTCGCTAACGAGGATAATAGAAGTGTCACGAATGGTGTATTGAATATGAACTTTGCTCTCAGAGATTCCGACAACGAGGAAAATAATAAGAAAGATTTCGGAACGTTTAGAAGTTTATATGGTGGACATGGTTTGATGGAGCCTTTTGATTGGTCAATAATAAAAGAGAATGGTCATTCTACTTCTAAAACAATCGTTACATCGCATAATAATTTGGACATTGAAGAGCATAAAAGCAATACAACGGAAGATGAATCGAAATCGCATAAATTAAATCATTTGGAAAAGCCAGCGTCTGCTACCCCTTATTTTCTAAATATAACTCGTAAAGAGGAGGAATATTATTTGCCTGAGAAGAATATCGATTATCACTTCAAGAACGTGTCTCAATCCATGGCAAGATTGAGAAACAGGATGGAAGTATACAATGATAAGTATACAGCTGTAGTTGTACCAGGGGACATACTTGAAACACTGTGTAATAACACTCAATCCCAAAATACACAGAGTCCCGATACGAGTATTATTAAGACCAATGGTGTAACTTCTTCAAAAGGGTCAGATCAAACCGAGATGATAAACGGAAATGGCGAAACGTGTGAAACAAGAACCGAACAGAAAATAGAAGAGAACAGAGATTTGGATGCAAATACGAATAATAATAATATTGCGCATAAAAGTCCTGAATCCAAAACAACTGATAAAGTATGCAATTCCAGATACAAGTTGTTGTTGGATAAAATAAAGCGTATGCAGATTAATTCGGTGGATTCGAGCATTTCGTCGAGCCCCTATTCTTCGAAAGACTCTTCGAGTAGCGAGTATGTTGCATCTTCCTGCAGTACTAGCACGCTTTCGTCAAACGTCGGACAACACGAGGATTTTAAAAATCAGAGTACCGAGCTATGCAACTTTAAGAAACTTGCGTCCACGTCCTCGAGTGAGTTTTCGTTAAATCGCGACATCAACGAGACTACAAATCTTTTATCCTCAGAAAATAGTTCCAACACTTCTTTTACTATGGAGGATTCGAAGCAAGATCAATCCTCGACAATTAATACGATTGTTTGTAACGTTGACGATGCAAAACGATCGAATGCGACTGTCGAGAAGAAGCCGCGCGTTTCGAAAATATTGGAACTGGTACTGAAGATTTCGGAAACTAAGACGAGCAAAAATGAATTAGATTCCGATGACCTAAGTAATCGAGAAACCGTAGCGAATGACACAAGCTACGACAAGGAAGAAAGCAAATCGAATGAAATTTCGGAAAATGCGACGAGCAAAGATGAATTGGATTCCGATGATCTGAGTAACCGAGAAACCGCAGCGAACTGTGACACAAGCTACGACAAGAAAGAAAACAAATCGGCCGACAATTCGATGATTGAGAATAATGTGATATGCAAATCGACGAGTAACATAAACGAGAAAACATTCGATCCGCCAGTGTTAAATGATTGCGATTTAGAATTCGATGATAGCAATGAAGATTGGGATTATTATATACCTCTTTCACTAATTAAATCTGCAGAACTGACTGAAATCTCAGATGATGATGACGACTTTATAAAAATTTAATAAAATTGTATTTCAAGGAGAAAATTTCTTAGCATAATGAACTATAGATAGATTTTTTCTTTAATTTCTTTAATCAATACAAACAATGTGATTTATCATCGAAATATTTTAACACTAACAATAAAAATATTTCATAATTGTTTAATAATTATTTAAGTGATATACTATTATATATGTCTATACGTGATAAAATATACAATTCTATTAAGGACACGAATTACTATAAATTATATATATAAATAATTATATATAAAATAATATATATATATATATATATATATATATATATATTAATTATATAAATATATATATAGTTTTGGCAGAGCTATGTAACAAATATTGATACTTATGAATAATTTTATATATATATATATACATACAATTGTGTATATATAATATACATATAATTATATATATATATATATATATATATATATATATATATATATATATATATATATATATATATAATATATATATATATATATATATATATATATATATATATATATATATATATATATTGCAGTTATGTAACAAATATTGAAATGTTAATTTACTTCAATTTTGGGAAAATTTGAACCTTATGTTATATGTAGTGTTGCGTAAAATACAAATGTCGTGTGTAATAAAGATATTGAAAAATAGCAAAAATGTGTGTAAAGTTATTATACCAGTCAGTATGAAAACACGCTACGATCACATAAAGTGATAATTTTTCCCGAATTCTTTCTGCCTCGGTTAAATGTTATTAGACATTACATCAAACTTATTTTTCTAATCGTCGAGTTTTTTAAATTTTTACTTCGAGCGTGTTGAAATATTACAAATATTTAATCTGCATGTAGCAAAAATTTCGTTACGCATATCACTTTATCTGATCTTTTCCCTCTTGTTTTCATCACTCAGGGCGATGCCGTCGACATGGCAAGCATAATGAGATACGTAGTAGTAAACAGTTCGAATTCATTGCCGACGTACTGCTTCGCGGAGGAGAACCTAATATCCGATAGCCATTCCAAGGCAACGTCCACAGAGGATTTGAATGAGATGGCACCTACGGTCTCCGAGCAGACTCCTCTTCAGTCTCGCGAAAACCTCGAGCAATATTGGATGAGACCACCACCGGGTTTTGCACCTCTCGGCGAAAAAACCGGTTTGCCTAACATATCAGCGAGAAATTTCCACGATGTATACACCTTCGGAAGCACATCGAAGACATCGAGTTCTGACAACAAGGACATGACAACGAATCCATTTTTGACTGACCAACAATTTATAAACGACAATGTCATCCCCAATGACGTAGGAAAGCAGATATTTACGACCATCTGGAATAAGAACTTGCAGTTGATCACTATGCTGGCTGAGTTTTTATACGATCTACTAGAACGCTCGCCGCTCAATAAAAAGATATTTGAGAATCACATGATAATCCAGCATCATTTGAATAGATTCCTTGAAAAGTTCGTAAAGACGCTGAAACCACTAGACAACGATACATCGTCATCAGCGTCGCTCAATCTCGTGAGAGAGACGACGGATAAGTTTGGCTCTACGCAAAATATTAACTCGCCAATGCCGAACTTGAATGCCGAAGGTTTCGTGAATCAAAAGCTCGCGGCCAATTTGAGCAATTTATTATTATCGAATTCATTCGGCGACGACAGACCAATGCAGACTCATCCCGTGTTTCCCACTTACGGTTCGAACAATTATACATTCTCGTCCAGTTGGCATCAATCTGATAAAATCAGTCCACGTGTTCAAGTACCGTCTTCCCCGGTACCCCGGACTCCGAGCTCTGTATCTTCCACGTTCGGATCATCATCAGCGCCTACACCTAATGTCTTTTTCCCAAACACCGATCAGGGCAACGCTCAAAACTTTCCTGCGATGAAACAGGCCTATTCAATGATATCGATGAACACTGACGTTTCTAATAACAATCGCAATTCTTCAAGCTTCTTTAGTACTGCGAATAGCGAATTTGCCAATATGTTCAAGGAGACGAATCCTTTTAGGTGTTCGATGACTGATAACATGCAGATACCGCAGAGGCCAGAGACGCAGAGCGAGCCGATGGCGAATAATTACGATACGAATGCCACATCGTATCTGCCTATGAAAAATCTGCAAGAACACGCTGCAAAAATGGAAACTGTAAACATTCATGCAGAGAACAGTGGCTTTACGATTCCGAAATACGTTAATAACATAAGTAGTGCTGAAGGTTACACTCCTAGAGTCATCTACGAAGCCGGACCAGTTATGTATAATATGCAGAAGAAGCAAACGGATGCAGATGTGATACAAAACGCATGCAATAACGATTTTAAGAACGATCGTAACGTGTCTATCAATGGACAATGTGATAAGAAGGATTTATTCTCGCCGTCTGCAAACGATATAGCTAGTTCGTACTTGAAAAATAGCTCGCACATTGACGAGAGCTACATCACTCAACCACCAACTGATTGTACGTTGCAAAATTCACCACAGATTAGAAACAACGAATCGATTTATCATCAACAAAACGTTAAAACAAACGAGCGCATCATCTTCTCTCAAGCCTGGAAACACGTTGAGATCCCTGAATGTTTGATTAAATCGCAAATTGGAAGTGTTCCTTCGCAAAATCATAATGAGAAACCTATAATTAACACGTCGATTAATTTTTCATCTTCTAAAGATTGGAATTGTGAGAAAAACAGAGGAGAATCTGTAACTCAAGGTGGAATGGTAGATTTAAGTTACGTTTTCCAAAGGAATGACACAGAACAACATATGTATAACAATTTCTTGAACAACCTATGTTATATTAAAAACCAAAAATGCATAGAACATAATAATAAGAACAACGACTTTTTTTTCGACGTCTCTTTTGTCTTTCAAAAAGTTGGTACGTATGACATTATCGAACATTCAATGAATTGAATTATTTTATTTATCTTGATATTGTTAAAATAAATTATTAATAATTTTTCCATTTTTTACAGACTTAGTTAAAAACGTGTCATGTATATTTCACACTGAGAACGAAGGTTGGATGTTGACCTATGAATTTATACAAACTTTTACGAATTTCAAATTGTGCTCTCGTTTGTTTGCTGTAATAGAAGCGATGAATGTAAAAGTTACATTTAAAGAAGTCAAAAGAACTGAATATCCATTACAATTTTTACAACTTGATAAGTAAGTTTGGAATATTTTAAATGTAATATATATTTTAACATATACACGAACACACATATATTTATATTTAAATTGGACAGAGATTTCATATTTCAACTTTAAATTAATATTTTTAAATATCCTTCTTTATTCAAATTTTAGTTATCCTCTAAATGTTCCCCGAGATGCCGAGAAACGTATTACTTCCATTCATTTAATCTCGTTACAAAGCGGATTGTCATTATTACGCAAGTTAAAGATAGTCACTCGAGAGGAAATAGATAATGCTTTCAAGAAAAAGGAGTTTGTAAATGGTTCTATTCTGCTCAATATGTGGGTGAGTATTTTTGATATCTAAATTTTTCAATCAATTTCAATCACGAAAAAATTATAATTATACATAATGTTTTTTCGAAAAAGAAATAATTTTTTTATTTATAATGAACAATGTTAATTACGAAATATTTTGTGTGCATGTATAAATATCGAATATATATAACTAACTTCATGCTTTTTTCTGTTTTAGACATTGATTTGTGTTTACCGTGATTTAAGACAACGTATTGAAGAATATGCATTGAAAAATTTTAGATAGAAGGTATAATTACTTAAAACGTGTCACAATGTAGATAGTTTTATATAACTTTTGCTTGTCAAGTTTATAATTAAGTTTACATCTGTGATCGACAGAGTTCCTCTTTTTATATAGTTAATAAGGTAATTTTCATTTTTTAATTTTTTTTACATTTATAATGACAATAATGTTGCTTTAAAGATACCAAAAATTTTCTAGTTTTTCATATGATATATGTTTACTCATTTATTATTTAATTATGACTAAACTAATATGATAGTATAAAGTATATTTTATTATATAATGTATGTAATTAATCATAAAATTTCATTTATCATACTGTTATTTCTAATAATGTTGAACGTACAAAATTAATGAAATTACGAACATTCCCTGTTTCAGTACTCGATAGTTCAAATATTAAATATTAATACGACTTAAATATTAAATGTTAAAGATTTTTATAATCAATTGTTCTAAATGAGAAGACTTATTGTGTGTGATGATTAAGGATAAGTTTATAAAATATATCGAGTTAAAAAAAAACTATTGATTGCTGTATATGTGATATTCACCTACATCATAAATCCTAAATATTAGCAATTGTCTTTCTCAAATATATTCAAAAACATTTATGATAAATATTTATAACAGTTAATCAAGCACAATCTTTGTAATTTAGAAAAAGTAAATGCTGTTAGATAATTTTAAGACATTTTTTAGATTAAGATTTATATCAAATATATAAATAATTATGATTATATATATATATATATATATATATATATATATATATATAATTATTTATATATATATATATATATCAAATCGCATTTATATGTGAGGTGTTGAGCGCCAAAAGAGCCTAACTCCATTTTTATAATTCTAAGATATTGAAGTTTAGAGAATTAGTACACTTACATTGTGTTTATTTATTATTTATTTTCGCTTAACTTTATTATGTAATACAAATAAAATATGTGAATGGATCACTTTTCCATTTCTGAATGAAGAAAAAAGGAGTATGCTTTTAATTTAATAATTTAATTTATATAAAAAATGTAAGTTAAATTATTTTGGCGCTTATAATATGGAATATATTTAGATATCTTGAGAAAGATATTCAAGAATGTTGCAGAACAAATTTTGCAAGAATCGAACAAGATTTAAAACCAGGAGGCTTCTCTCGATATATCTCGATTTATTTTCGATTTATCTCGAGTTACCTTCGATATATCTCGAGCATGGCAACCAGCAGCTGATCGTGATCAGCCAGTGAGTTCTCATATTGACGAACTTTTGTAGTCCTTTTGCGACTAATTTTCGCGATCGATTTAATTTTTCATCGTGAAAAAAATGACCGAAGGCGGGGAGAAGCTAACTGGTTTAGCAAAACACTTTAATAGCCAGACCATGCATGGTCGCGCGAACGTGAGTGATTTAACCTGAAAGTCATTGTCGATGAAGTTTACCTTGGAGTGGATTTTTGAATGCTTGATTAATTTTCCAGGTGACGAAGGCGACGTACGCTGGCATAGGACTGATCGTTTTGTACTTTTACTTGAAGCCGAAGAAAAAGACGTAATTCAGATGATATGAAACTGTAGTTACATTTTACATTATGTAATACAATACGTTGTGTGGTAACTCTCCTTCAAATTCTTCAAATAAATAGTTAAATTATCTTTTATAGATCTTTTTTGTTTATTGCTTGATGCTTGATTCTGTGAACGATGTGATATGTTGCCATGGGTAACCATTAATTACCAAGATAGCATATGTCATAATTTGCAGTAACATAGTCTCAAGTGAATACAGTAATTCTGTATCTATTGTTTAATAATTCTTTGCTAAAATATAAAAAATTAGAAAAAGAAACAATTATACTGTATAATGATTGAATAATATATTCAGTGGAGTATATTCCATTAATATATTTCACTATATATTTTGTTTGTTTAATTAATATCTTCAAAATTTTGTATAATTTAATCCGCTTTATTATATCATCATCTTGTTCAATATTTTAAGAAAGTATATATATATATATATATATATATATATATATATATATATGAATATCTTATCGCAATCATGGAAATACAATTGCAATCATGGAAATTCCTTGTAATGATATATTAAGATACTCCATCATATAAATTAGCTTATTTGTTATCAAGGGCTGAATTGTAATTCACATGTTTGAGAGATTCATTAAATTTATTTTATGTACAATAAAATTTATTTAAAACACATTTGAGTCGTAGAGAAAAGGTACATTTACATGAGTGACAAAACTAATGTTCTAGCTGTATTAAATTAAAGAATGCTATTAATGATAATACATGGAAACAATTTGTACGATATGCTTTAGCAGCGATGGAATAAAAATGCTAGCTGGAATAAAGCTCTAATTCAATAATTGTAATTTTGTTCAATGAGAGAATTTTTGGAATTCATAAATAATTTAATCTTAATTTTTGTACATTTGAAGGCGATTAATTAAAAAAAATTATTAGATGATTTAGTATTAAATATATAAAAGAAATAACAAAAAACCATTTAACTTTAAAATTCATATTTTTTATTCGAGAATTAGGAAACAGAATAAATTTTGTGTAAATTTCTTTCATCTCGAGTTTTGTAATCGAATTAGTGTTTTTTTCCCAGCTGTTGTTTTATTGTTACCTGATGATTTTTACATTGTATTTACAAGAATATCAAGACAGCAGTGGGATAGGATAAACAACATTTGCAGGATAGTAGATTCACATAATATATACAGTCTTATTGTATGTATATTAAATATACGAGTATATACATATACATACATACATACATATATATATTATATATATATATATATATATATGTACGTATATAAAAAATACATATGTATGTATGTGTGTACATATATTTAGACGAGTTTGATAGAAATTCCATGACTAGAATGGCGAATCTCTTTTGTCGTATAACTACGAGAGCGTTTTGTTTCCCTCTGTACTTAAATTTAATTACTCCTCTCCCTCTACTTTTAGCAAGAGAATATCTCTATATTCGGAAATTGTTAAGATAAATTTCAATATATCTAACGTTATTCAACTACATTACTTGTTAGATAGAAACGCCAAATTGGACCATCTATTTTACTAGACACATTATTGATATTTTCTTATCGAATTAAAAGCATTTTGATATAAGTTATAAATAAATAATTTTTACATAGCAGGAGGGAGAAGGTATATTTAAAGTCGGCATGGATATCATTTGATAATTTATAAATAGAAATATATTTACAATTCTCTTATATTAACGTCTAATTTTTGTAGTAATTCTAATTTTTTTTTCAAAATACATATATATTTATTTCCGCTCGCGTATGGTAAATGTAATTTTTTTCAGTGCAGATATTACATTATATGTTCATGAAACTTAGAAAGCTAACATTTATATTTTAAATAAGGTCTATAATAGTATACTATCTATATTTCTTTGGCGTTTTAGTGCATTCATTCTTTTCATTTTGCTTCATCTCATCCTCGTTCTTTTAAATTTACATTTCTAAATAAAAGAAAATATTTACAGTGTGATCGTGTCGATCTTCCGTTCCGCGAAGATAAATTTAGAAAAATATTTGAAGTTTCTGAAAAATATAGAAAATTCTGTAAATTTATTTTTTATTATAGATTTACCGATTATTATAGAGAGTTTTTAAGAGAAAAATATATCTTCTAAATTATCCCTTTCAAACTATGCTTAAAAGATGTTGAGAAAATTGCGACGTATTTTTAATATTTTTACTTTGTCTCGAAAAATTGTTGAAGCCTGCTGAAAGTAGTGTCAATAGCGACTTTCATTGATCATAGGGTAATAAAATTTCTCCTTTGTAAGTTAACGTCGTTTGAGACTGATCGGTATGCAAGTTTTGAAGAGCAATAGTTCGCGAGAAAACGTAAGAGATATGCAGCATTCTCTGCGGCCTTCCTACGAAAGTCCCCCAAGGGAATGTCATACTCTTGACTTCTGTACTTTCGACGAAATCCGATTTATTTCCTCAGGAGAGCTAAGTATGTGATCAACTCGCTGAAACTTCTCAGTTCGCGAAACTTCCTGGCAGATCCGTATTAGCGAATTACTTTTTAACTTCTCTTTTGTATAACACTTTTTCAATGAAGTTAAACTTTCCATTTTGAAAGCTTTTTGTTTGCCTATGTTTTACCTTATTTACAGATGTCAAGATGTCATTCTCTACTTATATAAAATATACTATTTAAGTCAAATTTATAACTATGGTTTAATATGATTTACTCGATTTTTTCCCTCTTTCTCTCTTTCGCAACGAAGCTTTTAAAAGTTCAATTTTGATTTTATTTTCCGCTTTATACATTTATTATGTAGTGCTTTTATCATAAAAAAAGAGAAATCTTCTATTGCTTCATCTATCAAAAGCTGATATATCGTGCTATACATGCTTCTAATTATTAAAAAAACAATAAAAAAGCGACAGAAACATTATGCAGCATAATTATTTAATGTAATTCTAGTCTGTCTTTTCAAAGTACTATTCAGGTTGCTGCATCAAAACTTATATAGTATCAGTTTCTTTTGTTTGATTAAATCGTCGGAAGCAATATGGAACTTATTCGGAATCACTTGAAAAAGGTCATCGCTGCAAGAAGTGCTCTTTATAAACTCTTCCGCGATAGAAGACTGTTATTTTTAACGATCCTTTTTCTTATATCGAAGTTCGAACATGAAGAGGATTGGTCCGAGCTCTTCCCAAGAGAACAATAATATCAATTGTCCACCGCACCGTGGAATCTCGTTTTTACATTATTCCATCTGTTTGAATTCGAAGATCCAAGAACTGGATGTGAACTGTTGAGATGATTTTAGGAATAATACATATGAAAAGTTTTTATATTAATTGTTCCTTGATAAATGAATTATTTTTTGACTTATAAATTTTCTCAATACCTGATTAAGATTCTCCACAAGATTCCTGATTGGATAATAAAAAAAGAATATTGATTGTTGTTTATTTTAAAATAGTCGTCTATTAATCGTTTCACTTCTTCGGATTGTTTTGTTCCAATTCTGATCAGAGATAATGTTTTAGTAATAAATAATTCACAGAGAGTGACAAACTAATTATTCGTTATATCAGCTACGATCCTTTTTGATGTTCTTAGCACTTTTAGCTACAAATTATTAATTAAAAATATTAATATATCAAATAAATCGGAAAACGCTGCAAGTACTTATACATATGATATATGATAACATGGTACTCTCATATGTTTTGTTTCATCTGTTTTGATCAATTAAAATTCTCGACAAAAAATTAAGATATTATAAGTTGAGTTCACTTTAGCAAATTAACAGATAAAAAAATGAAAAACTGTCTTTATATCTCACCAATTTTAATGTGCTTTGCTTGTATTTGTTGCTCATTAGAATTACAATTTGTTTTTTTCTCTCTCACTACTTGGACGTTTTTGAAATTTGATTAAAATATTTAGCTAATTAAAATTTCGCTAATAAACGCGAGGAATAATGTTATCTACTACAGCGTGGAATCGCTATTTTCTCTTCTATTCCAACTGTTTCTATCGTTCGAGGTCCTCGACATTTGACTGGGACTCCTCGCTGGAGTCCTGGCCGGATAATAGACGCAGGAACCGGGACTGGCCGGTCTACCGCTCTTCAGACTCTGTCTGGTACTGCCATTGGACACGTTGTTGTTCCAGCTGATGGTGTTGGCGCGATTGAGATGACCGTGCCTGACTGAGTTTCTTAACTCGATGTTCGTCGTGTTGGTGATGATAGACTCATCATACGTCTGAAATTCTGGACTGTCTCGTCCAGGTACAAATAACCTGGACGAGCAGAAGAGCTTAAGGAATATCCTCTTAAACTTCCGGCCGAAGATCACGTAGATGATGAAGTTGATGCTGCTGTTGATGGTTACCAGCAAGTTGCCGAATTGCACCATCCAATGTGATGGATCCTCGATGAATGTTTCGTACGCGTTTGAGACCAGGGGCAAAATGTTGCAGATCAGAAACACCACTACTACACATAGAAGCATAGTCGCCAGCCCGATCTCGCGACGTTGATGACGCGACAGCTGTTGGAAATCTCTGTTTGCTTTTCTCACCTAAAAAATGAAAATCCAAGCCCAAAATTATATTATGGGGAATAATAATAAATTTTCTCGAACAAAAAGAAATAAATTTTTCTCTTTATTTTTTTTTTGAAATGGAAGAAATCCCGTATATTATGGCTCAATTAGTAAAATTATATTATCTAGATGAATCAAATGTATTTTTGAAGCATAAAATATATTTTTATCAGAAAAGGAATTTTATTTTTCTGTGTATATATTTTTAAAGTGGTTCAATGTTACATTGTACAATTTGCATGGTTGATTCTATGCGTATATTTGCATTTTTCTAATTTTATTGTCTTGTAATTTAGCTTTTAATCACATAATATAAAATACTTCATAAAATATTACAGAATTATATACATATACACATTATAAAAGGATAATTATTTAAAAAATTACTCAAAGAGGAAAAACACAAGTTTAATTATTGTGCAAGTTTGAAAAAATCTAGTTCTATTTATTTGATGTGTTTAATTAAATTTGCACGTAATATATATAATTGTGATTTATGGATTTTTTGCGCATAGCTTTGCGAGAATGTAATTAAGAATATTTTACGTCAGATTTAATCTGTTGTTTTTTTACACTTTTTTATGTATGTAAAAGTAAAAAACATTTTTAAAAGTTAAATCTGAGAAAAATTAATGAAAAAGGACATTAAATAAAAAATGTCAAGTAATCCAATTATTTCTTAGTTATTTTCAAAAGTTAATTTTAATTTAAATTATAAATTTTTAGATTTTAATACATTTCTCATTTTCAAGACAATATGTAATCAAACTAATTAATAAATATGTTTTATATTTGTATCAATAGAGGTTCAATATATCTTATTTCATAATATAATATTTATTAATGTTATAAAAGAACCATCTATTTATTATATATCTATATCTCGATAATAAATACTTCATTGTCTTTTATATGATGAAATAAAAAAAAGAAGAATAAATATTTAATAATTGCCAATAGTGATTCTGTATAACGAGAATTACGATGGTATATTTGCTCATTCAGTGAGATTAATAATACAGAATTACGATATTATAAGATTTATGAGACATTTTGGCCAGGTAATTTTTTGACGTTAAATTTTCACGAGTGCTGTTTAATGTTATAAAACATAAATGAGAAATAAAAGATTTCGTAATGACTTCCAAATGTGAAAAAAGATTAATTGGCGCTTGTGAAAGAACACAACTAATTACAAGAGCGACGAAAGGTTAATGAGCGATTCTTATTTCATCAAGATGCGACGAACGCAATTTTCTATGTGAAAAAGAGACTGTCAAAAAATGGGAAGAACAGAAACGCGACAGCCATGCAAATTGCTGAGTTAAAATTACATTAAATATATTTCCTAAATATCGTTAGTTTCAGGAAAAAATAGACACAAAATTAAAGGGACAAAGAGATTAATAAATATATTTGTAATAAATTGAATCAAATATTTCAATATTTAATTCAATCCTTAATAAAAAATAATTAACTAATTGTAAGTTTATACAAATTATGAAAAGTTTTTTCTAAAATTTTAATTAATTTTTGAATTGTCAAAATTTATCACAATTTAGGTATCGATATAATTGTTTTGCCAATTAGTTAATTTTTTGAGTGAAAAACTTCTCGAAGTGAAAAAGTTGAAAGATAAAAACAAAGTGTGAAACACTTGGTGTATTGAAATTATAGCTCCAACAGCTTTTTTGCCGCAACGTAAAAAATAACAACAGTTTCCCAGACATATGAAGTTGCTGTTCACTTCGTACTAAATCACGTATTATTTTGGCGTAAAATTATGTGAGATACATTGTATTTGCAGCAGTCCCCGGTATAACTTTAAACTGCGTCTGACCTGCTTTTTTCGGATTTACGATCGCTCTTCAGCAAAGTCGTATCTTGCGAAGTCTGTGAAAAGTCGAATTCTTCGTCTTTTGGAATTGGTTCCGAAAGATTGCCGTGAAATTTTCAATACAAAAACATCTTATTAGTACTTTGATTATATTTGTTAGTTTCTAGATTGAGAGAAAGATATACATATTATATTGCTAAGTCTATATACATAAAACTTTGGTTGCAAAACTCTGTTCAAAAGAAAATAGAAGTATAGAAAATATTTCTAAAATATTACAGACAAAATTTACATTTGTTTGAATTTAAATTAATATGGCAAAATATGTATAGTATTGATTGTATGAGATGCTTATATAATTTCTCATTCGCCTTCAATTTTAATTATAGACATTGATTTATTTTTATGTAATAATAATATCGAGAGATAACAGTCATGTTTAAAATATAAATGATCAAAAATATTTAATTTGTTTGTTTCAATATCCATATATTGATATAGTTAAACTATCGATAGATAAATTTCAAGATCAATGTTTTTTATAAAACTTTACATTATGTGCAAATTTTCATGTAACGTAAGATATAAAATTTATTAAATGTTTTTTAGACAGAAAAATCTTGTTTTGATATAATAATTTGCTTGTTTCATTCTCTTTATAAAGACGACCAGTACTTATAATCGACAGAATGTTCTACACTACTTTGTGCAATAATATGTAATTCTCGTGCAAAAGATAGGTAATATCAAGCAAGGACATTGCAATTTGCGTATGAAATTCAGTACTTCTGCACTTTATGTTCATTATATATTTCACACTCTTCGTCTTGAATGTTTCGTGGCTTCCAAATTCGCCCACGTAGCGTTTGAAAATGCGTAAGAAAGCACTGAATAAATGCCAGATAAGTTGCTATATTTTACTTACGATCTAATAAAGCGGAACGAAAAAAGATTTGAGAATCTCTCGTTCATGAGAATGATTATTCTTTGAAATTTCAGTTATTTGCGCTAGTTTTTATAAGACAATATAACAGCATCATTGATTTTGTAACATTATGACGAAACAAATCGAAGAACTGTCAATATAAAAATAATTCGATAATTATATTATAGGTGTTTTATAAAATTATAGCATATGTGTCATGATTAATTTATGGATTAAAATGAATGATTAATGTTTTGTTTTCGAGCTAATAAAATGTGCATTTTATAGATCTTAATATATTATTTATTTTTAATGTATTTTAATAAATATTTGATTAAACATAATATGAATTAATTGGGAAGTTGTATGTGAAAGCTCAATAATTAAATTATATCTTGTTATTTAAAAACTAATTCACAAAATGATAATTTGTGCATAATTAAAACATAAATTAAATATATTTTATATTATTATAGAATACAACATGTTTAATTAAAATCTCAATTTTTATTAAAGAAAGGAAAACAAACTAATTAACCTCGTGGGAAGAGTTAAAATAGAAAACAATATAAGAGAAAATTTAAATACATCTAAACTTTAAAAATGTGTACATTGCAAACTCGTAATTTTCCTTCATAAACCTACTACAATAATTTATTTCTACATCATTTATCTCTAATCCGTTTTACTTTTATTTCTGTTTTTTCTTCTGATTTTGCGACTTCAGCTTCTAGAACGTAAGTTACGTGTTCGTCAGCTAAAACAATTACGACGGCAAAGTGGCAGAGCTAATTATTGTTAAGACTTCGCCTCGCTCGTGGCGGATTATTATGCGCGTCGCGTGTCACCAAATTGCTGTGCGTTACCTCGGATTACCGCATTCGGTTCATCTGGTGAATACGCTCTTCGCGTGCGACAAATTATTATTAATAGAATTATTTATTATTCAAGATATGGACACACATAGGGTCGAAATACAAATCACACAAAAGCAGAGTAAATACCCCTAACTGCATCGCATGCGCTTATTCTTTCTTTTTGGAGAATAATAAATTATTCTTTTTTTAATCTCATAGGAGATTAATTTTAAGCTGTGTCAAAAATCATCGCAATGACAACGAATTATTAAAAAACAATTTTACAATATACGAATATAAATATATATATGCTGATATTTTAATTCACGTTAATTTTTTTTATGTATTAATAAAAACAAAAGTATTCACTCTTGATTTTATTTGCATGATTTTCGTACTCTCGACTTTTCGCGAGGATGAGAAACATCAACGGACTTCAATCTCGTAAGAATTTCCAAGCCAAGATTAGGCGATTGCCTTCATTTGCCGCATGAATATTCTTATTTGACTCATGCCTTTCGTTCGTCCGTGTAAAGTCATCGGAAGTCTCGAAGAATATGCCACCAAAATTCACATCCTGATCCCGGAATTAAGGGTAGAGTTTGCGGGCGCTAAAGTTTTGCGATAAGGGAAAGCCAAGGGAAATTGTTGTCCTTCGACAACCGCTACTTTGTAATTTCAGACCCCCGAGGATCGTATGAATCTAATTCGACCTTGCGGTTAAATCTTATCGCGATGATATTATATGTCTTGGTATTGTTTGAGAATGCAAATTACCTGCAATGCTTTAGGTGAGACTGTTCTTATCTTATAGATTATAGATTATTCAAGATTGCAAAAATATATAATTTTTTATATTAATTTATCAATTCTTAATATATTAAGATCCATTTTGTAATTATTTTCTTGCAAAATAAATTATATATAAGGAGAAAAGATCTATTAATTACAATTACATGCACATTTTTCACACAAAAATATGGTCCTTTTTTATATAAATTATTTGAAATTATAAAACAAAGGACAATTTTGATTAATTTATATCAAATTAAATTATATTAATTTCTAGTTTTCTTTGCTAAATTAATTATAAGAGAAAAGGAACATATATTTTGAAATAATTAATATTATTATATTATATGTTTTCTCTTTAATTTTCGGTTATATTATTTTGATTATGAAAAATGTAACAGAGCACATAAATAATTTTGTAATGTTAATTTTTGGTTGTAAACATCTCCCGCGTAGGAAGATGATATTGCTCGTGTCTGCAGCTGCAGTCATGCGGTCTGTACAAGTGGCACGTGTCAGAGCAACCGTTCGTGAATTTCGTTACCCTTATACGTGCTCTCGAATTCTAAACATGTGTATCACATACAAAAAGGAACTTATACACAGTTCGAATAACTTTATTGGTTTCGTCACCCAGGCATATTATTCGTATTTTTATGTCACTTTATAGACGGCCCGTTATACGACAAAGTTATAGCGGTATCGACATAGCTATCTTTTCTCTCTTTTTCCGTTCCGTTTGGGGCTTATTGCAAATTCTAAAAAGAAGTTTTAATAAAAACGGAACGGAAAATATTGGTTTTATTGGGAAAAGCTTCCTGCTCCGCTGCTGATACTGCATGCTGTTCGATATTTTGCCTTTAATCTCTGGCTTTGCGAGGTATTTTGAATTTTCGGTATTTTTTATTGTCTCTGATTCAGAATTTGATAATTATAAATGATGACGTCTTTGCAATAATAGTAGTGATTATCTTTATCTTTTTAATCTCTACTTGCCCCGTTGTTATTATTATTGTTTCGCGTAGTTAGTTTATCATGTAATTTATATTCGAAAGAAATTACATTAAGGATAAAGTTTATACACGTGTGAAATAAAATATTATTTTTGCGAGATATATTATTTTCCATAAAATATTATTGGACGGTATAATATTTATTTTAACGAAATAATCCGCGATTTTCGAAATCATATGATGATGTTAGACTTTACTCACGTTACTCACCCGTTGATAAATGGCCATGTTAAAAATCACCAGCGCGATAAACGGGAACATGTAGTACACGAAGAAGTACATCCAGTGAATGTACAAGGTGACATAATAATCGTTACTCCTCAATTCCGTCGGAGAGACACAGTACACTGTGATATTATACTTCCAATGTCTCTCGGTGTACGTCGAGATTTCCCAGAATCTAAATCAAATTTATAAAATAACATTTTTATTAATTTACATAATAATTTTTATCCTTTATACAATTAATTGAGAGTATAATAAATCTAAAAAATATTTTTTCCCGCTTTTACATATTTTTCTGTCATATATTTTCATTATAATTATTTTTTATACTAATTCGAAAACAGAAAACGCAGACTACAGTGGATCAAAAATTTGATTGAAATAATTTTTACTAATCTTTTTTTTATTACGATATATTAATCTTTATTAAAGAAAATAACTACAGTGAAGGATAAGATAAAGACACAGCTTGAATTACAGCTATTACTTACTTGGGTAGATTGTAAATAAAGGCGAAGATTACTATAAGCACGAGTGCCACTTGCGCCCGTCCATAAGTGCAGAAGGATCTGGCTTTCAGCGGATGGCAGACCGCGATGTACCTTTCTAAGGTCACCGTTAACGTCAGGTACACCGTCACAAATTGCGCTATGCAAGCTAATGGATACAGGTACCTGATGATCTTCGGATAGATAATAAATTTATAATCGAATAATAGGCCAGTGTACGTGCTAATCGCCGGCAATCCGTAAATCAATACCTGTAAATGTATAATTTTTATATATCATTCACAATTTCATGCTTAATGATAAGAGTTTCTTATATATGAGATTAAAGCTCTTTTCTAAATTATAAATATCCATTAAAATCTTTTTGCGTATATTTCAGTACATATAGTAATTAAAATAATAATTAAAAATTGTAATAAAGTGAGTAGTTATTTTTTAAAATTAAATAAAAAGAAAGTTTTTTTATTATATCATTTATTTATTATATTTTGAAAAATATTCCATTTTAATCATTTTATACTCTCGTGCGCAATAATTACTTTCAAGATTCATATTTCTTCTTTTCTTCAATAAATAATCCTTCTAACTATTTATTGCAAAATGCAGTTATTTATAGGTGCCTTCCTACTCGTGACGTTTAATCGATAAGTGAACAATAATGGATCGTTAATGAGAGAGAAAGAGAATCGCTTCACATGATTAATTAATCATCGGGGTGGCTTATGTAATGTAGTCTCGAGAGAGTTGCTACAGGATCTTGTATATGAGTTTCGCGCCCTTCCGGCCCATCTTTCTTACCGGAAGTTCCTGCTTACCTCTACCCGCTTAATGCTATAATTTCGACTTTACTCACGAGATCAGGAAACAACAGATAATACGTTGGAATTTATTTACATAAGCTTGACGTGTGGTTCATATTGTATTTACATAATATTTTGATAGACGCGCGTGAATTATTCAACGATATTAATTCTTCTCCTCCGAGACACGAATTTATTTATTTCGAGAATAAATTAAAGAGAAATAAAAATTTTACTATCATATCAATTCTTTATATTATATTATTTTTGCAAGAAAGCTGTAGCGTGCAGTCGATATTTATATCCACAATGTATTTTAATGCTATTATAAAATATTTCAGAAATAAATTTTCTCAGCAATATTTTTATGAGTGTCTTGATCCTTCTCATAAAATCTTTTTAAAAATTAAGAGTCGTGTATATTTTTTATTCATATATGTACAATATACCATAATTAGTTATACTCATAATTTATTTAATTTATTTTGTAAAACATATATCTTGTAAAAAAAACACTGTAATTTACTACCAATTTATAAAGATCATTTCTACATACATTAATAAGCTTTTCTCTCTTTATTTTTGTATTTAAAATATAAAATCTGTAAAATTATATATATGTATACATATATGCATATTTGAGGTAAAAATAAAAAAACCAATATACATATAAAGTTATGAATTACATGTTTAAAGATATAGCTTAAATTACATGAGGTAAACTGGGATGCGCTACTGGGATATATATTAAAGAAGATTTATTTTAATGAAAAGCTCGGCTATATTGCAAATTTACGGTTGTGTAGAACGCAGAACTGAAAGGGTAATATTAAAATGAGGGGTTTGCATTTGATCATTGCGACAAATCTGCGACTGGTATGTTTTGCAAAAATTGATTTCCGATATTGAATATTCATTATTAAACGTCGTGATATTAATATTTTTCGGCCTTTGATGAACATTAATTAATCGCCAAAATCGTATGTAGATAAACAGGAGCAAAGAGTTTTACATTTGGAAAGGATGGTACGAATAGAATCTCAGTTAAAATAACGCCTTGATGAAAATTCGTGTGCAAGATGTTAATTAAACCTTACGAGATTACACTTTAATAATAAACAAAAATCTAACGAGCGCAATACAAAACTGTAAACTGCACTTCGAGATATAAATTTATATTCGCAAATCTACGTTACAATTTTTTCTCATCAAGTTTTTTCAAAACTTTGGTATGTTTGGCAATAATAATCCTCGCTCTCTCTCTCTCTCTCTCTCTCTCTGTTTTTTTTAATTTATAAATTTATTTTGTATTTAAATATTTATTAGATGCTATTTATTTTGTGAAATTAAGCTCTTGAAATTTGTAATATTTAACATCGTTATTTATACATATCTTCAAAATTAATATTCTATTAAAATTAGATCAATCAAAAATTAAATGAATGAAAAATTTGCAATATCTATATTCATAAAATAAAAATATTTCATATAATTTCATATATCATTTTTGATCTGATTGTCCTCAGTGTTTCAAAACCTATCTATCCAGAAAATAACGATAACATCGTCATGAACTCTTTGAAATGCAATTCGAAAATGACACGAAACGGTGAATCTTTTTTGAAAAATTCTATTTAGCTGTGGGATACGGATGTGATTGATTGGCAGGTGCCAGACATGGCGATAGTAAACGTGCTGGGTCATCTGGCTGCAATCACGAAGCATTCCCCGAAAATCGTTCGATCCAATCGAAAATCGTTTCTGGTCATGTGTGCCAATTAAACATTGATTTTCCAACGAGTTGCGAGTTGTGAACATCGCAGTTGTTTGTGTATCGCGCAGAGAAAAGGGATATGCCATGCCTCGTTGGCAAGAGAGAGTATTTTTAAGTTTTATGTGTATAAAATATAAAATGAAAAATATTTATTTATTTGTTACCTTTCTAAAAAATAATATTTAAAAATAATAATTAAAAAATATATTGACAAATAATATATATGTATAAAATATTGATATTTATATTTATTATTTTTTATTATATAATATAAACGAAAGAGAAACATAGTAAAATATTATTCAAAAGCGTAAAACCCAGTAAAAAGTAAGATGAGCGTACGTTTAATATACTAACTCTTTCATGTCGTTTCTTCATAATTATGGTGAGAAATAACTCGGCCACTCAGGTAGATTAACTTTGATCGTTTCTTTTTGCATAAAAACTGCAATATTCTACGCCATTTTACGGTATTATATAATTCTACCGTAAAATCTAATTCTATATTAATGTTAGCATTTAAAAATTTTGTAAGTTAAACAAAGTACATCTTTTTTCGAAATAACTTTGCAATTTTCTCGAAGTATCAGAAAATGAAACTCTGCATAAATATACCATTATTTACTGCATTCATTATTCATTCATTAATTATATAAAGATTATGCTTTGCTCGGTCCTAGCCTTTTAAATTGCAATTTTTATACTTCTATTCTTTATTTCTCTTTTTCTTTAAAACTTAATAAGTGGACTTAAAAATTTCGCGGAGAAAATGCAAAAGACAGAAAGATATAGAAAATGAAGGGAGATCATTCTTGCTTACCGCGATGATGATCAGCACCGTGTCGCACCTGGCCAGTCCAATCAGGAGATAATTGATAGACGACTTCATTTGCGGCCGCGACAGGATAATCATTGAGATTGCGTTGCCGAAGATCCCGAAGAGACCGATCAGGTTGATGAATATGCCATAAACGATGAAGTCGGACAGGCCGTTAGTGTTGATCTGCTCATTACACTCGACCGGTCCACCGTCGTTGCTGTCGTTGCCGCTGAAGTTCTGCGCGAACTTGCTAACATTGTAATAACTGAGATCGACCGTCGTCGTCGTCGAGTTCATTTCCATCGTTCAGTCTCGCAATTCTCGAACCACTTCGTCCCGGTTTTGCACTGCTCTTCGATCCCGCCGCCCCTTTTCACGTTACCATTTTCACTTTAGCCAGCTCCTCCGTCTTCGTTTATCCGTTTTTCCTGCTTGTTTCAATATTGGCCGTATCTTCGAGCCCCTCGAATTTAACAACTGCAAATTATTTGTATCAGTTTTGGTTTAATTAACTCTTCGTTATTGCGTTGTTTTAATTTTATTCTCAAATCGATTTTTTTTTCGTTAAAATAGTAAAAGTGTAGGCGTTTTGTTAATAAATATTGATTCATGACAACAATATGCTAATGGGTCGATTATAATCTGCAAGTCTAATAAATTTTAAAATTCAGAAAAAATTACGAGATTATTTTTTCATGAACATGATATTTGATAAAAAAAATATACATCTTTTTGAATAAGAGATTAAAAATATGTTATGTTTCATCATTCGTTTTACAGATTGCTTATGACTTTTGAGATTTATTTTTCTTTTCATGCGTGTATACAAGCTTCACCATCTACATATATATGCATCCATTTAACATTCCTTCTGAATGATTATATAGATTTATCGGTATATCGAGAAAAGACATTCGCTCGTCTCTCGCAGATACACCTTTAAAAGTTTAAAATCGATAAAATCTCCTTTACCGAAAGCACAAAAAAAGTTTCATTAAGAAAGAGAATGATTTTTCACCTTTGTTGTCAGATATCGGCTCGAGGAGTCGCTTTCGCGTTGTCTTTCAAAGTCAAAAGATCTCCGAATGAGTCCGGGTATCATAACGTCGATCCCTTGTTATACTCGATCTATATTTCGCTCTGCACATTATCCTCAATCGTGTTTCACAGAGAGAATCGAATTGGTTTTATCGTCTTCGCGTAGAGAGCTCGGCGTAGATGCTTTTTCGATGTATCGCTGTTTTACGACGAATCGCGAGCCGCTTTGCCATCCGAATCCTCTGTCGCAATAGCTTCAACAATGGTAATCTGTGAACTAAAAAAATTATACGTTTATATCTGGGGAAATAAAAAGTAAAATTGCATCCATCGAATACAAGAAACGCAAATCATTTGAACCCTCTTCGCAAGAACAAGGAAATATATATATATTAGGGTGGTCGTTAAATTGAACATCATGTTGGATGATCATAAATCAGCTCCAAATGTAGAAAAAATATTCTCTAATTTTTTCAGATTTTTATTTTCAGCCTTGAGTCTCCCTGTTTACACGTGTTATGTTATATTCTTATATCAGTTCATTTATTTATTCATTTATATGGTATTTAAATATTATTTATATTATATTTTTTATAATTTGAAAAAATACTTAATTTACTTCAGTTCTAGATGGAGTCAGCTGCAAAAGTAGTGAACAAAATTATTTAATTTTTCATAAAAGATAGTCATAAATATTATATGGGCTATTCCGCTATTTATATTATTTAACTATTTTATATTATTTTATACTATATTTTCGGTATTTTCAAATAGTTTCAACTTTTTTTCACTAAAATTTCAAACTCTTTACAACAAAAATTGATGACAGAAGCAGCTGCAGAACTGTGGTATTAATAAAATTATTAATAAAATTACATGTCAACAGGGAGACTCAGGTCTCAAAATAAAAATCTGAAAAAATTAGAGATTTTTTTTTCTACATTTAGAGCTGATTTACGACCATCCAACGTTAAAATATTGAAAAAACCTATATAACGACCACCCTAATATATATATATGAATAAACAATGAAAAAATTAATATATTGTAAATTCGTCAAATTGAAATTTCGAAGTGTCACGTTTTTCAGCCCTTTTTTCGAAATAATTAAATCTTTCTGAATGCGCAAGTAAAAGATTTTCTACAGATTTTTCAATAATAGATTTTCAATATTGTTTCATGTATATCGAGGAATGTCGGAGCATTTTTCTTCTATTATTTCACACCATCGTTCACAAAAGTTTTTTCATTTTGTTTGTTCTTGCAATTGAAAGTTTCAACAAGCACGAATCAGGGGACTCATTGTTAGACCAGTTGATCGAGCAGTAGTCCAGAAACCGCGTCGTCGTTACATGACTGACAGTCGTAATGTTTACACTCGAGCTTTCGAGGGCGCCGAACTTGATTGCAAACAAACACGGTCGTCTCTATCTACAGTTATTACAGGTAGCCCGAGCTATAAAGTCGCGAATATATATCGTTAAAGGTATACAATGTACATCTCTCGCGTTCAGTAACTATCTGAAATCCCGACCGAATACGAGTCCGCTAAGTTGAAGCCGACAAAATATACGTTTCGCATGACGGAATCTCTTTTGGCGAATAATAGCAATTTGATTTCATCGACCGGGTTATTCATAGCCGCCCTTGTTTGTGAGAGACTTTTCCGAGAGACTGGAATCCGCATTAATTGGATCATCGATGATTGGATTATAAACGGTATGGGAATATTTATTTAAGAGAGATTGTGGGAAATCTGTCGAAAATTTACACGGCATGTTCATTTATATTTTGAATCTGTAATATTTTAAAGTTGGATTTACTTCTCTTATCGTTTTCAAATTAAGACGTATTCGTGTTAGACTTTATACATAATAATCAATGTTTTTGTATTTCGATATTATTGTGATAAGTCCTTGACTCTATATTTTTATTTTATATTTCAGACAGCGATTTTCGATACCTTTCTGACTAAAATGTATATAAGGAGGAACTGTAAGTATCTTTACTAATAAAATTATTAAAGTAGTAATTAGAAGCGAATCGTTTCACTGTTAATTAATAAACAACATTATTGACTTATTTTAACTCATTTTCTGTGCACACACTTATTGCAAAATTATTATCGAATTATTCTAACGGATATTTAAAATATAAAATAAATAATATTATATACATATTTTTAAAAATTATTTTGCAAAGTGGAAGCAAAAAAGATCAAACCGCTTAGATCATGTGTATAAATATAAAGTGATTATTTTTTCCAAGTTCAGTGCTTCTAACATTAATGACATAATTAGAAGCTTTTATCGGTAATTGCATTCAATTATTATAGCGTGCATTCCATAATCTCGAAGATGAGATTGCCGGAAAGTTTTAAGATAAAAGTGTGATAAATGTTGAATTTATTCAGAACTGCGATGATTTGCAATGCATGCGTTTATACTTATAATACATATAAATACAGATAGGCTCTTAAGGGTGCGAAAATACACGTGTGAAGCGAATTGATTGAATCATATTCTCGCACGACTGATCACTTCGGCACATTCACATCTGTTTGAAATAAGCGTACGATTGTATGTATATACATTTACATACAGTTATATACAGATATATATATATACATATCACGCGGTAATTGTAGTATATTTGCCTAATTTCCGCATCGTCGATCTAGCGTGCAATTACGGTTTCCCGCATTCCTGATCGTTTCAGTTTGCGATCATGCTTTGTGCCGTTTGTCTCGCCAGCAGACTATAATTGCCTTTATAGTTTTGAAAAAGAAAGAGCTTACAAATCAAAGAAAAAGACTTTTTTTAATTGTCATATTAATCAATATCACGTCGATATTTAATAATTCAAGAAATAAGAACAAATTGTCAAATACTTCATTCCTACATCTTTGCAATGAGTTTAATACTTATATATGTTTAAGATCATTTTTTACGACATTTCATCTTCATTTTTTTCTTTACTTTTTCAATAAAATTAAAATATATACTCAAACTAAATTTCTCGATTTTATACAAAATTATGTATAGGACTTACTAAAATAAATATTAAATGGAAATAAAATGGATTTACGGAGATCAATCGCGAATATATCTACTTCATGGATCTCACCTTTCGACGTTGGATTCTTAGACTATCAATTTAGAACACCATAATAAGGTATCTAAATAAATTATCAGCTGTAAATCGCTCCGTGAAATAAATAAATTTACAGAGATCAATCGCGAATATATCTACTTTATGGATCTCGCGCCTTTCGACATTGGATTCTCAGTTAGGCTATATCAGTTCGGGACAGACGATGGGGTGTCCTAATAAATTCTCAGCTGTAAATCGCTCCGTGCTGTCATTGTTAGTGTGTCATTTAAAGTCGGGAACTAATTTGCTTCGGCTATTTCTTGCCGCCGGCTGTCGGTCAATTTATTTTTAAGCGATTCCGCCGTGTCGTCGGACGCGCAAGAAAGTTTCGCGGATCGGTGTTTTTCACATATGAACTCGACTAGGTACTCTCTTTGCTTGTCGGTCTTTTGGCACGTGTCGTCGTCTAGGAACGAGATGGCTGGCCACCTCTTGATAACGTTGCGTAAGAGCGGTATTTGCGCGCGAACAGAAACGAACGCAATTCGTACTTTGCACGAAACATCATGCGCGATATTTGCAGGCCAGAATCATCTCCCAGCGATCGAGAGTGTCTTCTTGCACCACGCGTTCAGCGCATTTAGTATCTGGATTATGACACGCGCACTAATATATTCATTTGCAGAGAAGCCTATTCAATCATGATATTTTACATCATTATTAATATCATTTTTTTTAGATTTGTAAATATATATATATTATATTATATTTTATATAATACACACTTATTATATTATTATATATTTATATGAGAAATTTCTGATATTTTTTATATGCCACAGAAAGAGAATGATATATGTATAAATATATGTTTCGGGATTATTGTGATGTTCGATATTTATCTTCGAATGATTTTAATAGTACATGTTACACGTAAAATATGCCGTTTTGCTTTCTTTTCCCTTATTTCAAGATATATATATATCATTACGAGACGGAAGAAGAAAAAAGGATATTTCTCGTCTCCTCTGCATGAAAGATATATTTACACAAGTTTTTGCGGCAAATTCTCTTGAGTAACTTCTTACAATTAGTCGCAGTTTTACTTTCAAGTTTTTTAATTCAATTTTTCTCGAACTGTGTGTCGAAAATGAGAAAATACCGTGCCTTTTCGAGGACCCTCCTTCGGTGTCCTAAAACGTTTTTCATGTGATGTTATTGAGCTATGATTTATGACATATGTATGTGTGTGTGTAGAAACTTATATGATTCTTTTTTCTCATAGGAACTTTTTCATGGGTTTTTAATGCCTTTTTATTTCTTTTTGGGGTCTTATCTGTACTTAGAATTTTGAAATAATCTATCTATAAGTTCTCTTTATTCTGCAATAATATTATTTAACTAGAAGTAGTTACACTGCAAAACGAAAGTCAATTGTATACGCGAAAACCAAATTTTCTTCTAGAATGAAATTATTTCTTTAAAGAGTAAACGAAATTTACACCAGAAAGGATCTGTTAACTTAATTATGCAAATGCTGTGTGGGACAGTTCTTTGCTAATTAATTTTCTTCCAATATTGTCCGTCTGAGGAATATATTCTTGGCAAAATTGCATTAAAATAGTCGCTTTTAAATTAGTTTTCTTCGGACAAGCAAGGGATAAAGCTATGAGAAAATACCGCGACGATGCATTCGGCAATTCTTCTCGAATGAATTCTGAGGGTAATTTATGAGAAGTGTGCGCTTTAGCACGAAATGCATCCGACCGTAATTTGTGGTTCGCAAGCGACGCATTTTTTTTCGGTACGTCGCGCATTAACTTGCGGTTTTATTACGACTATTGCATATTTTTCTCTTCCCCTCCTGTTAATCTCTACATTTCTGGTTGGCAATCGCTTTTTTAGATGAAAAAACATGTTGATCGAACTCAAAGCCAAAGCTATTTTATCGTAATTGTACGACTATTTTTTCTCCTTTTTATCTTGAAATAAAATTCTTCTTTATTTTTACACCGAAAATGTATAAATTGAAGCAAGTTTTATTAGACAAAAAAAGTTTTTTTAACATTGCTAATTTATTCGTGTAAATTATCTCCAATTAAAATGTAGAAATTAATATATAATTTTATTAAAAAAAATTTTTTTCTATTCTTATGTATATTAATAACACAGAAAAATCATTTATATTTCTTAATTAAAAAATAAAAAATGACGTTAAATTTATGGATTAATAAAATTACGGATACATACAAACGATTCTCTCGGTTATTCAAAATATAAGCGTCTATATTTGCTCGTGCTTCTGTTAAAAAAGGAAAAACAAAACGATTTTACCAGAGACCAAGCGAGTTGTTTTCTCAGGCAAAGTTTTGCTCCTATCCGTCGAATGTCGATAAATCTTTTTTCGCGAGTTTATTCCGAGGAACTGTATGTATATATGTGACATTGTCGTAGGTGTTGTTGCGCGAACACGGTACATAGTTATTTCTCGTAGTTCGACTAGTTACGTAGGATCGAAAAAAGGTATTTATATCGATGCGAGAAAGACGGGAAGAGAAAGAGAAAACGAGATAATCTATTAATATATATATAGAATATTTGAAAATCACAAGTGTATTAATGAAACTTACTAGAAATTGAGTTAAAAAAATAAATGTTGTCTTACTGCTGATATATTAATAGTTTTCGAACTATATGTATAATCATTTGAATATTAATTCTTCAGTCATATAGCTTTTCGGTCATTGCATTGGAATGTAGATTTTTCAAATAATATTATATGAATAAATATATATCTTATAACGTAATACTTATTCAACAATTACGGATGAGCAAGAGAAGGGTATTTTAATTTATTTCTGCCTTGAATTAACCATCCCGGTCTTAATTTAGATCTGTGGATATATTCTTCCAAAGAATTTCTCTCCGCAGAAACTATCGTAATTATTTGAAAAATTTCATTCAATTAAATCGGAAGATCTAAGCCGATTAAACAAATCAATTATAAGCGCCTCGACCCTATATAGTTATGTTATTTCGACAGTGCGAGTGTGAGTGCTAAATGAGAAGATATTAGAGATTCGTTGAAGGTTGGCACGTAATATTCGTCGCTAAAACTTTTATTTACCAAGTGGGTCGCACTGATGTTACGCTTAGTTTCGTTGCCCCCGCGAAGTGGAACGGTCAGGAAATGAGATGGGATTAGTGTCAGTTGTAGAGGTAATAATGGCAAAGTGTGAACATAACAGCTGCTACTGATGCCGATTTCACTGCGGACATTGTGGAAGAAAACTCTTTCTCTGTTCTTATTGCAACCTTGTTCTTCATGTATTTGCATAATTACGTCATTTTATTCATTTTATTCATTCGGAACTTGTGTGATTATTCCAAAAATAGAATCTCGTTTAATAGTAATTCTACGCAAAAGTAAAAAAAAAAAACACACACTAAATAAAAATATTATTATTATTATATCAATAATTTAAAAAAAATAAACCGAAAAAAATTGTAATAAGTTAACAAAATGTTTGATTATATTTTTTATTTAATTTTAAATAGATTGTAATTAAATAGATTTTCTTTAATTAATTTATATTGAGAGTTATTTTGATAAAGTAGGAAAAAAATCTTTTTTTCCTACAAAAAAGAGATAATACTACGGCGAATAACGGAATTAATACATGCCTACACAGATTAATACTTAAATGAGAAGCAACCGAGCGATGCTAATTGTACTTAATATAATCTACTGGTCTGCAATATATTTCTGAAAATTTCTGTTTTAATTTCTGTTCTTTTATTCTTGGTAAACATTATTTAACAAAAATAAAAGCTTCTAATTGCTTTAAAAGAGGCTATTTTAGGATATTTGATTTCAAATGTCATTTTTCCAATTTTGATCA